ACAACAAGAAAAGAGGTAAAGCATGAAAGTGTGAGAATTAAAAAGATAGTTTTAGATTTACATGGTGTAATTGTTGATTCAAAGATGGTTGCTCTCTTTGAATATGAATAGCCTCTTTTATCTTAAGTTGAAAGCCGGTAGAGGCGTGATCTAAAACATGGAAGTTATCATCTGAACACAAAGCGCGACAGTGTGCAGAATCTTTCAGATGCTTGAAAATGTGAGAGGCCCTGTCAATGACTAAGTGCTCTCTAACATGTCTGGAAAAATGCTGGCAGGTTTCACCGACGTAACAGGCATTACAGCCAGCACATACAAACTTAGAAACCACACGTGAACGAAGCCCGTTATAGTACTTTAAAAACTAAAGACGCTTACGATAAAGGAAAACTATCTGGTCATCTTTCTACTTCGCTCTATTTCTTATCAAAATCGCTTCCTCTAAATTTAGGAACCCACAGTTTCAAGAATGACTGGTTAGGTCTGTTCCTAAAGAGTGGTGGGGGAGGGGGGTAGGGGCGGAGCAATAACGATTCAATAACTGATGATATTAAGGAGAGGTAAAAGTTGGACCTAAGGCCTCCCCCCTCGATCTAACACTGCATTAGTCAGAAATGTAAGAGATGGAACAGAATCAAAGGGGAAATCATTACTTTAAATTGTGTTGCATTTGTTCTTCTTTAGCAGTCATCCCTCCGATCAAAACTAAGCCAGACTGAGGTATAACAAGTACAGCAATTTCCCTGCAATTAAAAAAAGGCCATAAAAATAAAGTGCTTTAAAAAGAACTATAAGTCAAAGCAACAAACAAAAATTAATTTCAAGGGATGACTTTTGATGGAAGCAGAATCATTGCCAACTTCAAAAAGAATCCAGGTAAAACACTTTTTAAATAAAGAAAAGAAATGACAAAAAAAATTACCACTTGTCCTTTCCAACATCAACAAAAGAATTCTGATTTAGTCACAAATAAAACAAAATTTAAAGAAAATAAGCAACTCACTTAAAATTTAGTGAGCCTGATGTTTCATGATCTGTGAAAACCCGAGTCCTCCACATTAGCTCCAGCTGATCTGTGTAACAATGCACCTCTCCATCATCTGTTACTACAACTATCACCTGCAAAGAGATACAAACAAGAAAATCCACTTCACATTCAATCTAGCCAATTCAACACCTCTGAGAGGTTAGGATATTGTAGACCATTGCCCTGACAATCACAACCGCCATTTGCTGCCAGCCATCCCTTTCATTTCCACTGACTGATCTTTGAACAAGCTATTTTTTTCCACTTTTTCTGAAGCTCAAAACTTCAGTTTAGAAATTATTTACAGTGGCCAATAATTACATTATCAACTCAGTTGATAAAACCAAGTAATCTTGTTTTTCCCAAATGAGTTAAGGGAGTAGGTTTCTAAAGAAACTGTGGCACTGGGTATGTGGAGAGGAGGGGGGGGGGGGGGAGGAATTATAAGATACATCTGATTTGGTTTTATCAACACAAATTAGCCACCATAGAGAGTTTCTAAAGCTGAAATTTCAATCTGTAGCCCTTCATCTTTCACTCTGATGGAGGAGTGGTCAACTGAAATGACCTTTTCTATTCATCTATAGATAAATTTATTCATTTATTTTGTGTTTACTTGTTTTTCCATTCATTTCCTGGTTATTCATTTTAATTAATAAAAGAAGCTTAACCCTTTACACTTTAACATCAGCAAGCATATTCTCCATACTGTTCTCTACATGTTTTCTAAGTTGCTGAAAAGGAGAATTTGTTTAACAATCAAGAGCTTCTTTAGTTGGTGATCATTTCCTTTATTCTCATGACCTTAAAGTGTGACTCAGGAGTGATATTGTAGGGAGAAATAAGATGTGAGTCACTCTTAGGGGTTAAAGGGTTTTTTTGAAATAATGAAAAAGATACATAGAATGACACTTCACCTGGCGACAGACATCGAGCGAAGAAATGCTTTTTCCTTCACATCCTGTTCCAAGTGCTACAGGAAATCCAGGCTTGGATGAATTACTGGAAGTTTCAAGGACCACTTCTGCCTGGCCAAAAAAATTCAGTAATTGACTCAAAGGCAAAAATCATTCAACCACAATTTGTTAAACATACAAAAGGTGTCACTATTCAAAATAAACATTAATTTTCAATTGCAATAATTGGTTTTAGGCCAAAATGGATAAATTAGTTTCTCTGTTTTGGGATCATGGAAATACAGTAAATTATTTTAGATCTGAAACAAAGAAAACACAAACCCAAATACATCATTTTGAAGTGAATAAAATGAACAGCAACATGGTTACATGGAATCAATTTCTCTTCCCAGACATTCTGTTACCTTCATATGAAGATGAGGAAGGGTGGATGATAGATCATGCTCCTCTTGTGGAGGCAGCATCATAACTTTAAGTCTTGAATCATCAGTTACAATAATAAGTTCTGTTATGAAGACCAGAGAAAACTTAATTACTCATCAATAAACTGCAAGTTTTATCGATTTATGGGTGTGTGGGATGTTAGAAGAACATGAAAAATGTTTGTAAGTCATGAGCCAGAGGTGAGTGATTAAAAACTTTGTTAGTGAGCAATTAGGGTGCTTGCAGTATCTCAGTCATTGTAAAATGATCACATATTTCCTGGTAAGTAACCAAGAGAAATGTGATAGCCCAATGGCAACCACATTATCCCTCTTAAAGTTCTTAGGATTTGCCCCATGACTGGACATTTTACTGATTGCACTAATAAATCACTTTGACAAATTTTAGGGTACTTTTAAGTTGCTCATAAATCCCAGTAGTTTTATAGACACCTGTTGCAAGCTTGGAACAACTTGTAACAACAACAACAACAATACTCATAAACAAACTAAACAAAACAAAACTTAACAGACATGCACATTACCGACTTCCTCCCCATTTTTTAAGTCTTACTTTTTAACTCCGTACTTTCTAGCAGGCCTTCAAGTTTAGTTTGAAAATCTCCATACTTAATCTATAATTAAAGGTCATGTACCAGTATCTTATGAATGATTACCATTAATTCCATCACTATCCAGGTCTGAGATAATAGGAAGAGGTCTAAAGAGAGTGACATCATGTAATCGTAAGTAACTAAATAAAATTAACTCTGTCTAAGAATTAAATTCACTTCATTGCAAACTGGAACCCTTTTCACCCAGTCTTGCTTGGAAAATTGGTAATTTCATTCAGCTCTCTGAAAAAAGTTTGCCTTCATAGTGTATGTGATAAAATTTCTTCTCAACAAGGTCTCCAGAATTCAAAGAACACTTTTGGGTGTATCCTTTGTTGCTTTGATTCATCTACATTTTGGTCATATTCTGGCAAATTAGAACATGTGGTTTTAAGAAACACAATGGATCATTAAAACTCTTTAAACCCAAAGTGACCACAGTCAAATTTCTTTTTACAGTTAAACTTTCCACCAATTGCGCTTTGACTATTACACAAATTCTCCTTGCCACTACCAAAGGAAAAGGAAGAAGAAGGGAGGACAAAAAAAGACATCTCTAATGCTAACCCTTCACTAGCATCAAATTTCTCCCTATAATATCACCCCTGAATCACATGTTAAGGTCATGAGAATAAAGGAAATGATCAACAAGAAAAGAATCTTTTGATTGGTATACAAATTCTCCTTGTCAGCACCTTAGGAAATGTATAGAGAACAGTATGGAGAATATGTACACTGATTTTAGGGTGTAAAGGGTTAAATAGGTAATAAATTTAAATGAATGAACTTGAATTTTTACTGAATTATTCAAATGACAGTGAGCTTGTCAGAGCAGCTTCATGAAAAAATCTGATAACCAAACATACAACTTGTTTCTTGTTGTGTGGTGATCACTATGCAAGATATCGTCCAGTTGCCAAGAGGGCTTTAACTCCCACACATTTGGAGCTCTGAAAAGAAACAAGGCCACAAGCACTGCTGCCACCACAACCACATCTTGAGCTCGAATTTTGGTGACATCAACTGGCAGTAGTTTCAAAGGATCATTCATAATTGTCCTCTGAAAGAAAAATATCAAACTTGTTAGATAGTAAGGTAAAAAAAAGAAACATCCTTAAATGGACAATAATGCAAACATTTCAGTCTGCATACAGAGGCCTTTTTCTTCTGACCCAAGCAATTTTGCAACAACAAGATTGTGTTTTCACTTAATGAAATACCAAGTCTTGAATCTTTAACTCAGGAGAGAATTTAACTTGTTCTAAAAACTCTTTTGTAAATCATATTTATTACCCCACCCCCACCCCCGAAAAAAAATCGCCAGTGATAAAATTGTAACTATTGTTCTTTAACTAGTTAGAATAAAATAACCAGTTAAAATTAGTAAATAAATGAGGTGACAAATTAACTTGAAGCTCGGTAAATACCCACCACAATTTTCCTTCACTTGGCAAATATATAAATTTGTTAAATAAAGCCTCCAGCATTTTTTGCATCGGAAACTCTTTGGGCCTTTGCTTATTTAGGTTATGAAGAGCGGTTTTTTTATCAGGGACGATACAAAGTAAGCCTTTTTAATCGAATTAAAAGTAACCATGGTAGATGTGCACCTCAACCCAAAATTTCATTTTATCCCCCAAACCTTATCTCAGAGAGTCAGAGTTAAACAAATCCGAGTCTCAGTTATTTCAGACGAGGGTATTTTTCAAGGTAATATGTATGCGTGAGACGGACTTTCTAAAAACATTGAGGAGCCAAAGCTGAATATCCAATTAGTATCAACCTACCTTTTTTATATCTCAAACACATCTTAAACATATCTTTTAGCGGAAAAATCTTTGTTTTAATTATTCCTGGATCACTTCCGATCCAAAATGCGCGCCATGTTGAATTTTATTATCCTGCACAAATATGGCCATGATTACTTAATATGGATGACAGAGAAATTGACCAATGGGAATGCGTGGTAGGTAGCGTCAGTTTCGTGCGGTTAGTTTGAAATTTAACGATCGAACAGCGGTGAGAGTTTGTAACCCAAGCTGACTTACTTTCTCGATTTATACGTTTGGATTTTGTTTTGTCACAGAAGTTCACAAAGCGTAGTGTCTTTGAGAGTTTCTGAAGTCTGTATTTTAAAGGATGGATGAATTTGTTGATCCAAGTTACGAGTACGATGCGCCGATGTTTGTCGACTTCTCGAAAGACACAGGAGATTTAGACCCTGAAGCGGATAAGTGGTTTGGTAAGTTTTAATGTCTTGACTGGCGAAATCTTTCGCCTCTAAGTAGACGATCGATGTTATTCTAAAACTTTTGTTCTTTCAAAGATGGAAAAGTAGCCGACGAAGGTGGCTGGGTAATCGAAGAAGATTCTTGTGAACAACGATCTAATGAACCTAACTGCGAAGCATCAAAAATTCTAGAAGAAGTGGTGAAAGAGAGCTCGTCTTCGCAGAACGAAGAACCACCAGTGGAACAGAAAGCTGATACTGAACCTTTAGCGGAAGCTCCTCCTAAGAAATCAGCTCCTAAAAACTGTGTGACTTCGTGGTCAGAGTGGGTAACAAAAACCCAAACAACAACGAACGAACAAGTCAAGACGGAAAGTGCCCCTCGTCAATCTCAAGTCAGAAAGTAAGCGTGACTTTCTAACTTATTGTTTCTGTTAATTTTTGGATGGGGTTTATAATATAACGCTACTCTACATATACGAATTCAAACATACAGTAAATCTACGTGTACATCTTTGTGCTTTTATATTTGTTGTTGGCACTACATTATAAATCCCAAAATGCGATCAAGCTTTACGTGTAGATGCACGATTGGAGGAAAATCAGAAATCTGTACCAGGTTAGTTTCACCAATACGCTTTCTCGTTCTAGGAAACGAGAGAAAAAGGTACCTGAAAGAAGATCAGCTCGTCTGAGAACGTTGTCAACGTGTTCTATTGCATCAACATCATCCACCGTTTCCAGTTGTTCCTCTGATGGTGGGCCAGCAAAGAAAGTCCCGAAGATTAAAGCACCATTGACATTAACTGTTCCAGATACGCCAAATTTTATGAGGTAACACAAACAGCTAATTTCAATGGCCATTTTGTTTGCATGATCATTAGAAGTCGGCTGAAAGCCAGTTTTAACCCTTTCACTCAGATGATCGTCATGTAACTTCTCCCTGTAATAGCCATACATTATCCAGCAAACAGGTTATAAGAATACTCCAACAAATCAGGAAGAAGTTGTTATCTTGAGCTAGCACCATCTTCTCCATTCTTTGAAACTTAGTTACAAAGAAAGAAATGTGTAGCAGCTGGAGGCAAATAATTTACAACTGGATCTGGGAAGTTGAAGGTTTAATTATGAACCTCTCAGGGAGATCATCCAGGCCTTTGTTTACAGCATATCTGCTTTTTAATGCTTTAATTTATCGTTTGGGATTATCCTAACCACTCTTGTTTTGTAATTATACTTATGCTTACAATTCTAGCTAACAACATGAATACAATGAAGAAAGGCACCTCAAACACCTAGCATAATCAGCTCAGAAGTGCATTTCACCTCTTATTTTTTGCCATATATTTTTAGGAGGGTTGCTCAATCCAAAGGTGATAAAACCCAAGCACAGAAAACAAGGGAAGAACAGGAGCTGCAGGTCATAGCACAGAAACAAAAGGAAATGATGGAAAAACTCAAACAGAATAAAGTTTCCATGAAGAAGGCTCTTGCAGGGCAGTCATACATGCCTTGTAGATCAGCTGTTGACAATCTTACTCGGGCTAAAGAATTTCACTTTGCAACAGATGATAGGCTTGGTCCAAGTTCTCACCATGCAAACAATGAGGGCAAAGGAAAGGATTTTGTTGGCTCTTTAAGGCAGCATCCTCCTTCACCAGTAAGTGTCCATAGTGCTTCTAATGCAATTAAAATGGTTGTAATTGTAAAAAAAAAAAATGGTTTTACTGGTGAAAGTGTTATAATCAAAAGTAACAGACTCCTTAAGATTGTATTTGTATCTTGAATGCAACAGGATTGAATGCACTTTGTTTAATCGGGCAAGATCTTATAAATCATGTGATTGGCAAATAGCTGCATGCAATAGTCTACTTATGCAAGAATGTTACCATGTTTGTCTGTATTAAATGGAAGGTGACTTTTCCTTCAGCTGTTCCAAGGTGATTTCTGAAATTAATATTATTTACACAAACTTGGTAATTAAGTGATAAAAATGTATCTAATATATAGTCTGGTCATGGTAAACAGTTGATTTCTAATTCTTACTGACAGAATATGCAATCTAAATTGATTGTGAGACTTGATTCTATATGAAATTATGAATCTGTCTGTTATGATAAAGTGCCAACATACATTGTAGTTCAAATCATTTAAAGTGGCCTTCTGTTCTGTTCTGGGTAGACTTTCAAGAACAGGAAACCAACTGTTCCAGTGCCATTCAAGATGAATGAATCCAGGAAAAGAAAAGAACCTGAAAATGACACTCCATGTGGGGAGTACCAATCAATGGCACAAAGGGTTTATCAATGGCAGAAGAAGACTCCTGAGCGTTTCCATGTGAAACCTGTCAGTGAACAGAACCAGGGGCCACCAGATAATATAGAGAAGGCTTCCTTGAAGCTAACAGCTCCAAAGACACCAAATTTAAGGTCAAGAGATAGGAAAAGGCCACTTTCTGTAGACTGCATGAGTAAAGAAGAACAAGAGAAGATTCAGGAAGCTGAGATGAAGAGGTAACTTTGATGAAATAAATGGAATAAATTTTTCTTGTGTTAGAATACTATATGAAAAATATGGATAGAAAAAAACATGTGAACAGCTGGTTTTGAGCATCAAAGTATTAGGGAAATATTCTCAGGGACACACACTAGAAATGAAGTGGTGGTGTTCTGTGCAATCCTTATGGTTAGTAAGCATTACTTAAGGACAATTTGGCCACATAGAAGTTCACTATTTGTTGCCTGGATCATCAGATACCCTGGGCTCAAGGTTTAATAGAGAATTCTTCTCCAGGAACAACATTTGAAAATATTTTCCTCTAACTCATAATAAAATTTGCCTTTTTACACAGTTACAAGTTCAAAGCTACTGAGCTTAACCGTAAAATATTTGACTGCAATGGAACATTAGGAGTGTACATGGAACCAAAAAAGCCTCTTACTGCAGTTGAACCTTTTAACTTCAATACTGAACAGCGTGCAGAGGTGCACAAAACAAAAGAACCACAGGCTGTCATTGAGGTTTGTGTTACTTAACGAGTTAGTTGTCAACCCTATAATTTGTAAGTTAATTTGTGTTAACTCAATACCCTGCATCTAATTAATAACATATTTTGTCATGTCATACCTAAATGCAAATGCATTAGAATTGTCTTGGGCGATGTTTGCAAAATTCTTCCAAAAACAATTTGTTTACTTCCCATAGGAAAAGGTACACAAAACCTCTAACACTTTTATTTATATGTAGGCTGCTGAATCAAAAGAAATAAAGGCTAATCCTTGTCCTGACTTCACCAATGTGTTTAAGCCTGAACTGCCACATAAAGGAACCCAGATACAGCCATTTTCATTTGAGCAGAGAGACAAGGAAACAAAGCTTAAGAAAGAGGAGAAAATTACAGCTATCTTAGAGGAAGAAAAGAAGGTAAATTAAATGCTACTCCTCTCAAAGAAACTTCAACATCTCCACAGGCATTTGACTGTTGTCTGTGTTCAGGGGGTTGGAATATTTTAAACTTGTCTGGCTGGGTGAGAAATTTGACCGTAAAATGTAAAGTCTTTCCAGAGGAATAGAATGGTTATATCTTTAAAGATAGGGGTGTGTGAGGTAAACAGTTAAATTTGCAAGCAAATGCTTGAGGATTTGAAAAAAATTGGTGGGGAATTTGATCACAATGTTTGCCTTACAGGGCAGGAATTTGATCAAACCAATATTCAACAGTTCAAATGCCAGGAGAGGGGAGGGGGGTGGAAAATTGGTGGGGCATTTGCACACAATTTTTGCCTTGCAGGGCAAGAGGTGGTGGGATGTTGCTTAAAATTGATTGAAGCACAACATGAAGGTTGTATTAAATATATTTTCTACTGGTGACAGGCACATGAGAACTTTCATGCACAACCATTGCCAAGTTTCACTCCTCCTCCTCTTCCTTCATCATCAAAACTCATCACAGAACCTGTGCCTTTTGATTTGTCAACTGAAAACCGTGGAGCTGTCAAGGCTGAGAAATGGGGACAGCAGGTAAGAAGCATGTTGTGAGAACTGACACAGACATCTTTAAACTGAAGCACTGTCCTCTAATAAATGGTGCCCATTCTGATTTGTCTTAAATAAGTTACATTGTGATCTCATTACTAGGAACAGAAAAATTGTCAGCTACATGGCCAACACTGCACCAGTTAAGAATGTTTAAGTTCACATAAAAGAGTGTGACACTGAATTTGACTTAATTTTTAAGGCTCAGACTTTCTTACTTGACAGAAATTTGAGAAAAGTCCTTTTTTTGAGAAACATCCTCTCTCTGACAGAGAAGTAATCATTTGACTGAATATCCTTTCTTGTTCCACTTTAGCTGCAGCAAGAGATTCAAGAGGAAAGAATGAAGAGAGTGTTTAAAGCTCGATCCACCAATGTTTTGTACAATGCTCCATTCATACCTGACAAGTCCATGGTCAAACCAAATACAAAAATTGAAGAATTCTCTATGAATTCGGATAAACGCGCTAAGGAAAGAGAAGTGTATGAGATGCATAAGGCAGAGAGAGACCAAGAAGAAGAGGAATTAAGGAAACAGATAGAAAAAGAACGTGAAGAGGAGGAGAAGATTTACTTGAAGAACCTGCGCAAACAACTAGTACATAAACCAAATCCCATACGCAAATATCGTCCAGTAGAGATCAAACAGAGTGAGAAAGAGCTTACAAATGCACAATCGCCCCAATGGCATTCAAAGAAGAGAAGAAAAATGCGAGTATGATTGATTTAGAACAGCATGTTTTCAACATAGAAATTGTTAGCAATTGTTAGCCATGTTTTTGATACAGGTATTTTATGAAATTATGACTCAGTAAGAGTGTGTGGCAGGTTGTGATTGCAGAATGAATTGATTGTGCTTGAGAAAGGCTTTGTCAAAAAAATGTCATAAGTCATATCGCAGAAAGCAGCAGTACAATTAATGTCAAATAGTTAGTTTGTAAAAAATTAGTAAAATTTAATTTGGTCTGTAACATTTCCAAAAGTGACCAACATTTTAATTCTTATCCTTGTTACTTGCATAAAATCACTCAATTTTACTTGTACATTCATTTGTTTTGGAGTAAACTTTACAATTTGCTCATTCAATTCTGGTATCATGCAATAAATTTAGTTTAGGAGATTAGTTTTTCTTAGCTTTACTCTATAATAAGTCTAGAGAACTCTTGCTATTCTCAACAAATTGGAAGGAAACCAAAAATAATAGAATTTTCATGTGCTTCGAGCAGTTTGCTTGCTTTCACTTTAAGTTCCCATAAGCTAATGATAATTTAAACTTGTTGTGACAGCAGGGATAACTCTCATTTTGGTTTTTCAACACTCAGTTGAAAACTTCTCTATTGGTGAGCTATATTTCTCTAGGCTGAAGGTCAAGAAAAAACCACAACCAGCAAACCCTGAAATGCCCTTTACATGTAGTGCTCAAAACATACCAACAACTCTTCAATGTTACTTGTAATTGCACATTAAAAACAGCTCTTTCTTAACCACTGTTAACTGATAATTTGGCAGTAATTTCAGGATCACCTGTTCCCCCTTTTAGCAAAAAAAAAAAAAACAAACAAAACTCAGAAAAGATTTTTACAATCTTTATTAACAGTGTGAGTTTTTACATTCACAATCAATGCACCGTGGCATGATGTTTTATTCTCACACGATTCAGCATATTCTACACCATTTTCTATTCTGTTTGGGATCAAGACTTCACAGCCTTTCTGTTCATCCTAACCCTGTCCTCTGGGTCAGGCAGCAGGTCACCCCATTTTGTCAAGTGTCGAGCACACTTGTAGATATCACTGCAACAAAAAGATTTATGAAAAGATTCCGCTTAGATGTTAAAAGTGTTTTTCCAGATATTAAAGCCTTTAACAAAATGTCCAAACAAATAGCCTGTGTAGCCATACCCCCACCCCCAAGGGAAAATGGAAGGGAGGTTCCCTCTCTAATCATTTCTCCTTGGTGAGGAGGGTATGACTTCACCTAGGCTTCCAAACAAATCAATGTTCAGATAACACTTTTGGTTGAATGCTTTTTCACTACAAAAAACAGCAAAATTTGTTTGACCAACCAGTGTATAGCAATGTAAACTATACATACCTGTCCTTCCTTTTGGTAAAAGTCTTCTGTTTTAGGTCACCTAGCAAACACAATGAGGAGGTTTATTAGTACTTTTTTTTTTTTTTTCGTTTCACCAATCTTAGATAAATATTTGATATGATTCATAAACACAATGAAGTTGTTTCTTGCCTTAGTTAAATTACCCATCTATGCCAGAAAAAGGGGAAAAAGTCAGAATTCAATAAGGAAGGAAATCGCTTGGAAATAATTGATAACAACAGACAACAAGGATGAACATTCTTAACTATTGACCATTTTAAAATGGTTTACAAAAATTGTTTCCAAACAAAAGAATATTCTCCTTTTTGCCATGACATCACCTTGCTTAGTAACCTGATGACCTGACCTTGTCAATCAATTTTAAAAGTGGTTGCAGTAGGACATGATACCAGCACACCACAACCAGTTTTGCTGGCTAACAAGGCCCTACTAGGCTTCCCATGTCCTGTATAAAGGGTGGGGTGGGTGAGTGTTCTCAACTGACTAACCTGAGCTGCAGCAGAGTCTACAAATAACATGTCGCTTTCTGTACCGCACAGGCTCAAGAACGCGAGGCCATGGCTTCTCTGCGGAATGAGAAAAAGTGAATTTTCAAAACAAATTTGCTCTTACTCATCAAATACTAAAATAAATAACATAAGTCACAATCAAATATTAGTTCATTTTGAATTATTAAATCTACATTTTCCTAGGAGTCACAATCTTGAGACCTTTCCCTCCCCTTAACAAATATTTTTCCCATTGCTGACCTTCTAAATCTCTTGCTCCTTTCTTGAGCACAATGTATGAAAACCTTTCTGTATGAAATCCCCTCTTCTTCAATTTTGTGTTCCTCTGAAACAAAATTACAATCCATGTTAAAAAAAATACACATTTCTAAAAAATTAGCATTACAATTAAATTTAGACTGAAAGGGGCAGCTATCATCTATGCCAAAGGTCCTTTCCCTGAGAGACCTTGAAAAACATGGGCCAAAAGTCTCACACCATATTTCAATTGTCTTCTTATGGCTATTACAGATGACCATAGTATACTTGTTTCAGCTCTGATTAGGCCCACACCCTTCCCCATTTGTAATGTTGACAGCAACAGGAGGAAAGAGGGCTCAAAATAATAAGTGTTTGCTTGAGTATCTTAGTGTTAAGTCTAAGATGGTAGCTCTAGACAGCATTTGTCCCCACTTTCAGAACTCTAAAAACTGAAATTTTTAGTGCCTCCAGTGATACTTGCCTTTTTACACAAAGACCTTGAGGGAAGATGAATAAAGAGGATAAATTTCTAAAGAAACTGTGGTGCTGTGTTGGCAGGGGCTATTTAAAGATATATTGGTTTAATTTATCAACTAGCTTGATAACATAAATTGGCCAGCATGAAGATATTGTACAGCTGACTTTTCAATTTCTGACTTTTCCTTTGTCAGAGTGAATCCAACTCACAATGACGAAAGGGACAAATGCTCAAAATGCTAGCTTTACAATTGCTTCACAGTGGCCAATTTGTTTTGTCAATTCAGTTGATAAAACCGAATCTCAATAGAAGACAGATGACTTTTTTATCTCTTTCATTACAAACCTGACATAAGGCCAACTGAACTCTCTGCTCAAAGTTACAGGGATGGTCTCTTGTTTCAGCATCAGATCTTGCACACTTAACATCATGTGGACACTATAACAGATGAAAAATCAAAGAAATAAAGTTGATGAATTAATCTTTGACCAAGGAGGAGAGGAGGCTTAGCACCAGATAACAGAAGACCTCAAAATGTGGTAAGAGCATCACAGACACACAATCTCTTCAGGCTGACATCCCACTATTTTGGTTTATCTCTCACCACACTTTTATGCCATCTGTAATCTGTCATTTAAGAAAAAAATAGGGAAATTGTTGGTTAAATAATTATACTCCACCTGTTATGTGAACCAAAGAAAGGCTTCACAAAAATGGTGGAGAAAGAGGAAATCAAACTTACTGGAGAAAAAACAAAGCCATTGTCCATTTCTTCAGCAGTTGGGTCAAGGTACTGATACTGGTTACCTAGAGAGGACATAATTTTAAAAAAATTAAATTCAATGCTGATTGATTGAGTGCAGTAAAACCAAAACTAAAATAATCATAACAACCAACAAAAGCAGAGGAAAATACCAGGGGCTGTTGAGAACTCAAAGGAAAAAAAAACTGGTTGAAGCAGGAGGTAAAGATGGCAGTGTCAAAATGACTCCAAATGGTTAAGAAGGTTCTCAATATCAATCACAGAGCAAAATAAAGCAAAACCAAAGTAATCTTGCATAACTTTCCACACTCCCTGATTAAAATTGTTCTTGAACAACATTTTGGCCCTTTCTCATTTTCTGAAGTTTCATTGCTTTTAGCTGTACCCACCCTCAGCTGATCCATCATCAACAGGCTCACCATCTCCTTTCTGTAAGGAAAAACAAGATACAAAACACAAGTAAAAAGTTATAAATATTATTTCAAGTTTTTTTTACACATACAAAAAAGTCTAATTCTATGTCAAATTTAAAGCCACAAGAACTGGTTAGCAGCAGCTAACAATTAAATTAGGTGATTTCTAACAAAGAAAATAATAATTGTCGGCAACATGGTTCCGTTAAAGCCCCAGATTTCTCCTGTAGTGTCTATTGCCCTGAGGAACATGGAAAGAAAATACATGCATACTTCACTTCCCCCCCTCCCCATCTTCCCTCCTTTCTTGAATAGTAGGGTTACAAGGAAAACATGTTTCTATTGCCACCCTATTTAAAACTTTTTGAGCTTCAACTACAATGGAATCAGTACAGGTCAACAATTTCTTAATAAGCACTCCCCTTTATTGAGCATCCTCCTTCCAATAAGCACCCAGTTGCTTCTTCAACGAAACATGGTAAGCAATCTTTCATTTACCTTTAACACTAGGTTCCTAGCTTCAGCTGTTATTTCAAACCCTTCAGTATTGCCATGCTCGATGATAACCTAGGATAAAAAAAATGAAATGCACTTTTAAGAGTCAAAACGGTGTTTTACATCATTCAGTCAGTTCAAATTACATATTAACCCCTTAACACCCTTGCATCAGTATGCAAGATAGCTCTCTATTCTATTCTGTATATACATTTTCTACGCTCATTACAAGGAGAAATATGTTCTAACAATCATAAGCTTCTTGAGTCACAATAATTTTGTTTAGTCTCATGGCCTTAACCCTTTGATCCCTGAGAGTGATTAGCATCTAATTTCTCCCTACAATATCACCCCTGAATCAAACATTAGGGTCATGAGAGTAAAGAAAATGATCACCAACTTAAGAACCTCTTGATTGTGAAACAAATTCTCCTTTTCAGCAACTAAGGAAATGTATAGGGAACAGTATGGAGAATAACTACAATGATGTTATAGTGTAAAGGGTTAATATTTGATTCAGGGCTGATACTGCTAGGATAGATAAGATGCTTATCACTGTTAGAGGAAAAAGGTTAATGAATTTTCAGACAACAATGGCTTACCAAGAAGTCACTTGTTTTCCCCCACAAGCTTTTCACTGCCATTTTCCTCAAGGAGGCTCTAGGTATTTCACTGAGAGCATAGGAGGCCACCACAACATCATAAGTTATCTATTTGACAAACAACAGTATCAAATAAAGACTCGATTCCATCAAAGTAAACTTCTTTTAACAAATGCAGACTATTGGCTTCTCCTTATTTCTAACTCATTGGTTCTTGTGCTTCAAGGAGAAGGGAAAGGGTTTAACCTTTTCACTCCCATGATCTCATTAGTAATTCTCCTTACCAACTGTTGTACAATTCTTATGATTTAGGTTCTTTAGGTTTTAGGAGAATTTGTTACTGAATCAACCGATAATCCCCTAATTGATATTTCTCTATATTCTCATCACTTGTCTGCTTGAAATTGTATGGATATTGTAGGGAGAAATCCTGTCTTGGTCACTAATGGGAGTTTAAGGGTTAAAGCAGAAAGTTGTGAAGATATAGGTGCACAAAGTGGGAAAATTAATTCAAATTCACAGTCTACCTACTAAAGTAACCCAACATTTCCTGGAGAAATCTAAGCTTACCAAATTGGATACAGGTAAAAATCTCTTGAAATAAACACCCGGAATATGAAGAGAATGCTTCAGACCCTCTCCACCTGTATTAAGAATAAGGACAACAAAAAAGTACATGACAAAATAGATTAAATATTTCTGCTTGGCATTTACTGAAAACACAGAATAAGAGAAACACAAAATTGCCTAATAAAGAAGAAAATCTGTTCTTTACAGACCATAGTTATGGACCAATTAAAAAAGCAGCATGATTCAGCTTATCAACTGAAGATACAACAAGGAGAAATCAGAGAAAAAGGAGGTATTGGTATCCAACTAAAAAAAAGGCAAATTACATTGAAAAAAATTATGGGACACAAGCCATGAACAAGCCAATAGAAAGAAGACTTGTTTTTCAAGAAGTCCTTAAGTTTATAATCTTTACATGTAGCATCCCAGTGCTGCTAATTCAAGGGGTAAACAATGCTATCCAACAGATAAATCTTTATCCAATAGATTGCACAGTATGTTTCATTAAAATTCATCTGCAGGATAGTGATCTATCCCTTGGAAAGCATTATCCTTCCTTAGGACAACTACACTGGCCAGTCCTTGATCTTAAAAGAGGCTACTAGTTCCCTGTCTACTGTGACAAACTGAATTCAGTATTAGTAATTCATTCATAATCATGAAGTACAAACCTCTTATGAGATATTCAGCCAGACTATTCATATCCTGAGATACATCCACACACTGATATTCTCTGAGCGAGTCTCCCCATGTCTCATGGGCTGCCCTGGCAAAGTTGAGCAAAAATTTATAAAGGTTGAATTACTGATCGACAAGACACTGATTAAAAAAAACATATCTCATTTTGCAAAAGCCAAGTTTTAATAATAATTCATCATTTGATTAGCTTGTTTGTTTTTTGAAAAAAAGAATTGAGGAGTAAATAAATGCAAATTAATTGTCACTGGATCGAAGAGATTTCATTGACAAATATTTTTTACCATGTTGCTGTTCCAGAGCCAGATCCAAAATCCAGCAGATTCTCTGGTTTAAAGTTGGGCTCACGCCTCCTTAACTATGGGGGATAAACAAAAGATTGTTAAAACTTAATTAAAAGGCAAGGGCAAGTCTAAAATGGCTTTTCTAGAGACCTGAGGACCTTAATTATCATGTACATAATGGCAGTGAAAGGATTCTCAATCAAAAATGAGACATAACATTATTTCAACATATGCTTTCATCAAAAATAGCTTAGCATCATCCATACTGGTAAAAGAATTGTAAAACAAAGTCTGGCAGAATTGTCTCATGTCACTTTTGACTTACTTCATGGAACACTCTAAGTGTTGCACCATAGCTTGCAGGTAAACGGCTTGCAGCATAAGCAGCAGCTTCTCTTTTGTTATACCTGTCACCAAAGTAAATCAGAGCAACCCTCAGGGACCCATTACTAACAATTTTTGGTGGGAAAATTGCAAATCATTTCAATTTTTTTTAAAGACATTAAAAAAAGCATTCCTTGTACTCTCTAATTTAAATGATTTGAATTTGAAGCTGTCTTGATTCTCTCCCTTTTGGATGTTATCTGTATTGTGGACTGGGATGGCACTAAATTTGATAGATGCAAATACTTAAAAACCATGGGCCCTTTCTCGAAGGTTCTGGTAACTTAACACATCCACATGTTCTGTTGTCATTTAAGCTGGATGTCTCAAAAGTTTTGAAAATTATACTAAAAAACTATCAGCTAAAGAAAGAAAATGAACTGGTTAGGGTGCCATAGCCTGCTCCACTACTCTTTCAAAATTTCATCATCAAAATATGGCTTCCAGCTGATTAACTTACTGGGACTTTCTAGAAACAAGCTCCAGGTTAGTTAAATCAAATAAAACAAAATACCTTATCAGTTTGTATTCACTTCCTCTTGGCCTTTTGATAACTTTTTGCTTTTTAATAATAGCAGGTTTGCTATCACTTGTGTCCATTGTTTCGCTATTTGTGTGGTTATTGTTTTCTTTATCATCATCAATGTCACTGTCACTGTCACCAGTCTCAAGTGGGTCAGATCTTGTTTCTTGGGAAACAAATTCTCCATCATATTCATCATCTTCATCTTCACTTGTATCGTCTACATCATCAAGAACTGTATCTTCTTGCTGATTATGTAGCTTCAAAATGTCAGCAGGATTAGCTTGGTTTGCTATATACAATTAGACAAGAAATACAAAAAGTCATAAATCATCTTGATGCATGTGATCAAGACTCTGAGGTCGAGTTATTGTGACCTTAAAAGTGCACATATTTTGACTCAGTACTGCTAAAAATTTATGGCTTTAACCTTTAACTTGTTAATTCTCCCCTCTGGCTGCTACACATTTCCTTGTAAATAAGTTACGAGAATTTAGTGTCAGACCAAGATAACAACTTTGATCCGATAAGTTTTAATATTTTCATGACCTGTCTGCTGGATAATCTTAAGTTATTATAAGGAGAAGTTACTTGTTAATCACTTCCGTGAGTTAAAGGGCTAACAGGCAAAGAACACTCAGAATAATGTCCCTCAACAAGCAAAGAACAACCAACTGAACATGCCTTGGATCTAACACACAACAGCATTTTAGATTACTGTCGCTTTGACAAGAAAAGAGGTGCAGTAAATGCAATCATTTGTTAAAAAAATGAAAATAACTATGGATTTGGCTAATCAAATTCCTCTCTTTCCATTTTAATTTCTGATACTGTATTCAAGACCATACCTGCTAATTCCTCTCTTTGCCGTCTAGATTCCTTATATTTCTGCCAGGTCTGTTCTGTTGGACGACCTCTATTTCTGATGTGTCTTGCAAGTTTTTTACCATCATTTTCCAACACCTTCCTTGGGAATTCTATGAAGTCAAATCATGCCACAAAGTCAGATTCAAACAACACTGGAAGACAATTAACAACTATACTACTAGTCAGTAAAGACTGGCAGTGTGGCAGTTGAAATTTCATAATAAAAAAACAAATAGAGACTCTATATAACCAAGAAGGTGAGAGAAACAATGAGCTAACATTTAGTGTGATGGACTCCAAGCCAAGGGGTCCCATTTGAGACCTGACCAGGTCATTGTGTTGTGTTCTTGAGCAAGACACTAAACCATTTCACTCGCAAGATCTCATTAGTAATTCTCCTTACTGACTGTTGTACAATTCTTATAATTTTAGTTCTGATAATTTGTTACTGGATCAACTGATAATCCCCTAATTGATATTTCTCTTCATTCTCATCACTTGTCTGATTGGAATTGTATGGATATTGTAGGCAGAAATTCTGTCTGGTCACTCATGGGAATTAACCTTTTCACTCCCACAAGTGACCAAGACAGAATTTCTCCTTACAATATCAATACAACATCAAGCAGGCAGGTGATGAGAATAGAGAAGAATATCAATCATGGGATTATTAGTTGATCCAATACCAAATTCTCTTAACTAACATAAGAATTGTATGGCAGATAGTAAGGAGAATTACTAATTAGATCTTGGGAGTGAAAGGTTTAAAGGGTTAACTCTTCAAGGGACCCATCTCCACCCAGGAGTGGAAATGAGTACCAACAAACTGTCAAGGAGTCTTAAAAAATGCTTGGAGGGGGTGGCAGGGGCCAGGAGAGGTTGGGGTCAGGTAAACCTGCAATTGACTTGCATCTCATTTAGGGAGAGTATATGTAGCAATACCCAGAGTCACCTCATGCTGAAAAAGCCAAGATAAGTTCTAGCTGAATTAGCCAATTAGCTCAAGTGCACACTTCCTTTTTCATGTCACAAGAGAAACAATTCCCTTACTCTTGAGGTAGCTGTCTAAGTTCTGCTGTAGCTTTTCAGGTAGCTTCAGAGTGTTAAGATAAAATAGACCAGCAGCCTCCTTGTTGCGTTTCTCAAAACCACCGTTAGAACCGTAGCCATGCTTCTCTTCAGTTGAACTCCACTCTTTTTCTTCATGAAAAGGTCCCTCCTGGTTTGTACTCAAATTAGAACATAGCACCTGTAGATAATTGGCAGAACGGTAAATTTAATATAATGAACCACACTCTCCTGGGCATTTATATATGGAGGGCAATTACTGCCAAAATTAAAATTCAGTGGAATTTTTTTGTTTTAATTCCTCATTTCAGGTCACGCTAAATTTCCGACTAACTAAATAATGTTATGCAAATAAAAAATGTAATTTCTTCTTAACGAGAGCATTCGTTTCTGATTATTGAGTCGAGGACCATCGAAGAGAATTCCAATAACCATTTCTGAAATTATTTATCTCGTTTCCAGTGGTCTAATTAAATCCAGATCGTTCTGCAGTATATCACATTTTCCAAATCCAGAACTAATTCGATATTCATTTTTCACTTTTCTGATTAGGGTACATAATAAAACAAGTGCTCAATCTCTCCTGTCTCAGTTCTCCTTTCCTATGAAAATAATTGGAAAGCTGCCGACATCATAAGCATCCTGAGCTGACAAGATCGAATTGTGGCTGATCATGAAGTTTGGGGCAAATTAGCGAAGGAAATATCAAGAAAACCCTTAAGGCTTTGCGCAATTTGTTTAAACCTACCTTCCCTCGTAAAGTTAGCCGGTGAGTGAAGCGAAACCTGCAAGATCTACACTGTTCTATTGCACGAAAGCAGATACTCGCTCTACTCATGCTGGAAAGTTATCGTGTTTCTCACGTAGGAGAGAAAAAACTGGGACGAGAGAAACATTTCTACTAGGATTCGTTCCCAGGGTCTCTCTTCTTCTTCAAAGGGACGGAAACAAGAGAGATATCCCAGGAACAAGGCTGAACCACGAATAAATCCGTGTACCTCCATGAACGTGTAACCAAGAATTCGCCATCAAGGCTTTCACAAGCTTAGACCCCCTCAATCAACATTTTCTCTTACATCTCTTGTTTTCCTTTCAATCCAGAGAGATCAAATCATCAATCCACAATGAGGGTTTCTTTTATATATTTTATTCAATGTGTTCTTGACTTGAGCTACCTTTGCAGACAAAGTTACATTTGATGCGGCTCTTAACTCCAAACACTCTAGTCCACTGTCTAAAAATGCACCAATGCATATTTAATTACACATGACCAGATTAAGTTGGAAAACATCAGGGCAAAACTTAAAGTTTCACTGTTCACTCCTCCTCTGCCTCCAAATTGATATTATTGCCAAATTTGGCATAAAGTTTCACTTTAAGATCAGCCAGGAGCTGTTTAACTTCTGCAGTGTTGGATTCCAAGGATTTTATTTCATCCTGTATCTTGGATTTTGCATTCTCCAGATATTCTTGAGTTTCCTCCGATGATAAATGGATGAATATTTCCCCTATTCTATAAGTAGCAATTGTTAAGGAACCTTAAGACTTTGAAATGCTGCTTTCTCTCTAATTCAGGCAAATGAGAAAACTCAGTCTTGAAGAAAGATTTCACTTGTTTCCAACAAAGGTGGGAAAACAAAGGTTTGGTGATTTAAGAAAAGAAAGTAACAGAAAGGGAGTCTCAATTGCAAGAATAAAAATTACTTAAAAGCAAAGTGACAGTCAAACTTATTTCTTTTTTTTGAGGTATGAAAGCTTCTTGTTAATCTTTCTCTTTAGCCTCCAGTAAGACTGACTGTGGAACTGTGGGTACCAGTACAAAAACATTAGCTCAAATAAACATATACAACTCTTCCTCCAGAAAAAACAGTCACTTAAATTGCAAAAGTAAATAAATATGATAGAAATTAGAGAAAGGATATGGAATTGGTGTTGTATCATCATCTAACATCATCAGTTCATCACCTGCATCTTCAAGATTCTGAAGCTCTTTCTGAAGTAAAGAAAAAATTCTCAATGTATTATGTGGATTATTGAGCAAGTATGACATCAAAATGTTCCAACCCACTACAAAAGGCCAGCAACACAGGGTTGCCATTTAATTCCATGACAGAAACAACTACCATGATTTTCTTCCTTGAGAAGGACAAGTTGCAGGCAAGTTGGTAAGGAAATGTACACAACCTTGCTACCTTAAGAAGCCCCCTATCAGAACACAAGGTTAGCTTACTTCTCCCTAAGAAAAATGGATTGGAAAAATATTTCTGCAGGGCCCAATACAGTAAAATTTCTGCACAGCCCCATACTACATTATGCATTCAGTTCTTGGATAGAGAAAACAATGAAAATACCATACATTGCCATTGGGAAAACAGATTTTACCCCCAATAATATTCTAAACCAAAATTTTGTCCAAAATGAAATCTTTTGTTTTTGCCAGAGTTATGAACTGTTTTCTTAACTGTATGCAAAACGAATTATAAAGTTATACGGAATTTCACCGATCAACAACTGGATGCTGAGTTTTGATAACTGAATTGGAAATAAGCTTACATCCAACTCCCCTAGATAGGCTTTCAACGCTTACACACATGTACCTATTACATGATTATATATTGGTTTGGGATCATGACTCCTGAGATACGTATTGATAAGTAATTGTCAGAAAGAAAGCTGTAGATTATACAAGCTTAGTATTCGAGAATTCCTGCCTTATTTCAAACCTTTTTTTGTTCAATTTCATCTTTTAGTTCTTGGATTCTGGCACTTTTCCGTGCAAATGTGTTAATCTGCTGTTGATCTTCAAACGTAATGTTCGTGTCCTCTCCACCGATCTACAGGGAAGGAAAATCAAATTCGTTTACATTTTTTTTTGGATTAAAGACGAGGATCAGACTTGATGGTAGTACTCAAAGAGAAATTCAACTCTACCTTCCTCTTAGTGTTCGCCATCTTGCAATCTGTACTAAGTAACCTGGCAATTATGCGAAGAAATTTTGGTTGCCTAGACGCGCGTTGTAATATTTTATCATATAAACGAACTTTGATGAGCTATCTCCAAGACAATCAATTATTAGTTTTGTTTAACTTGATTTTAATTATTTATATTGTATAAGGTTTTAATCTTTCGATCGTTTTCACCTGTTTATTGGCAATTTTCAAATTCCTTGTTTATTCGAAGTCGCTAAGATCTGACTTCCGCACGCGCCAAGGAATCTGCGCTCAATGGACTTTACTTTGTTGAGTAGCTGCGGAATGTTCGACGAAAGAAGCTGAAATTGTCTCTGTGGGAATGGAAAGAAGCCAAACAAGTTATGGGTGAGTTGATCTTGATTTAGCTATGTTCCTTTGAGGTACAAAGCTAAGATGAGATCGAATCAGAGAAACTTTGCTTTGTTATATTTGGACTTTATTCTTTACCAATTGAAATTATGAAATTGTTGTTTTGACACAAAAGATATTGTTATCGGCATGAGATTCCTTTGAAGCCACAACATTTCTATCATGCTTTGATTTAATCGTCAAAACATCACACTCTGTTGAGTTTGAAGTCAATATTTATATCGCCTATGCAGGAGTCATTAATTAAACTTCTAAACACGACCCTTACACGTTCGAATTCGAAAGACGTATCTTTTGGAACCATCTGTTGTGAAGCACAAACTTAGTTCAATGGGTTCTTTATTGTGCTGCAGGTGATAAATATAATTTACTTTCTCGTTCGAACGTATTGCAATGAGTCTAAGAGCAATCGAACTATTTTAGTACTGACTAGAGTGCAGTTGTCAAGGAGACGTACTTCAATTAAGTTTGACCTTATGGGCCTTAATCAGCACAAGCGACAAAGTTGTTTATTTAGGAAGAGTTTCAGACATCACCAACATTTTACAAGCACAAATGGTTTGTCATCATGACTTAACAAATTTTGATCAAAGCAGACAAATTTTCAAATGCACCGTGGACAAAATTTGTCCCAGGTAAAAAATTGGTGAAATAGAATAAATAAACAAAACCATGATAAACTTGTCAATCACTTGTTGTATAAGCTACAACAAGCATGTGATTGAACTGAAATCAATTCACTCGGAAGGCAAAAATTGTCTTTTGCTGCAAAACTCAGGGATTCTAAAATTTTAAAACAACCTAGGATAAATCCTGGAAGTTGGAGGTGGAATCCTTTGGCAACTATGTTGGCGGTTCCTATGAACAGATCAGGTGCTAATGGAATTTGACGTCTTTGAAATTTTTAATGGGCATGCAACAGACGAAATAAAAATTTGTCCTTTGATTTTGTTGGGACAATTCTAGTTTAATCCCCTAATGTGGAAAGGCCCTAAATCCCCAAATGAGATGGACATGCAATTCCTTAACATAAACTTTATAATTTTTTAGGCTACACTGCAGACAGTGAATTTCTCAACTTTCAACTCTGCTAGAGACCAAGCAAAGACTCTAGCAGGACTGAAAGCTCAGAAATTTACAGTCTGTGGTTATTGTAATGATGTCAAAATCTTAAAAAGTTTGCATGAATAAGAAGGCATACACAATGACCTAAGCTACTATTGATGTATGTTTTTTCTCCTCATAGTTTCAATATATCATCTAGCAAACAAGTGATAAGAGTGCAGGACTTCTCATCTGCTTCATACCAACTAACTGACTAGCAAATTCTCCTGTCAAATGAATGAGGAAATTACTTAATGTTACAGATAAATTAGAGAATTACATCTCAGTTGTTGAGTGTTATAGGATTAAATAGTGTGCTACTGGTGCTAACTATTCCACACCTATAGAGCCAATCTTGGTTTCTGCAACCTGCTGCTTCTAAGAGAAACCCCCTACAGCCCCTTTCCCCACCCCTTCCCCCCATGATCTCATCGGGATTCTTCCCTTCTTCAAGGGTATTAGGATCTGCCTTAGATTCTTCCAAGTGAGAATAAAATGAAATAAAATGATGTTTTCTGAAGTCTTACAACACACAAAAAAAGACTAACAGAGTTGAAATACTATTGTACCAGCTGAATATGTGAACTTGCAAGAAAATGTAATGTTTTTCTTGAGCAGGGTTCAAATTTATTTTTAGTTGAAATCTGCAGATCCAAATTAGAGAAAAAAAAACACAACACAACAGCCCTTCTAAGAGGAGGAATGCGAAAATAATCTTGGACCATTTTGCCCAATGATACTGTGAAGCTTTCACCTCCAAACCCTTGGCAAGAGTTTTGAATATGCTTACTGCTTGCTAATCAGTTATGTTTCTGAAATGGTCTATTTACATTCTGAATTATTTTTCTCTATATACTCAGATAACCATGGTGTAGCACAGCTCTACAGACGGATCATCTCACCCTCAATTAAGGTACACAATGAAGAGTGGCAAAAACAGACCCATTATCGACATACAAATTACAAAAGCCAGACACCAGTCAGCAGGCTTAAGATGGCAAGTCCTGTGCACAGTGTGGCGTCGGCTCCTGGACTCCTAGAAGCCTCAGATCTTGCACTTCAGGTACACTATGCAGTAGAGTAAAGATAAAATTGTGGGATTGTAACTAAGAGAGCTATAAACTAATGTAGGGTGTGTGGGTGTGCCCCCTTCATAATTAAGAAAATGGGATGATTCAGTGCTCAAGCAGCAAATGTTTTGCTCACCATGGGGAGAAGAAAAAAATTAGCAACGAAATTGGCTCTGAAAGTTGCTAATTGAGCACTCTGAGTTCAGTACCTCCTAATTTGCATAGTTAGTAAGGTGCTTGATTCACACTGGGCAAGATTTCATCTGCTCACTTGTTACTTCTCTCTGCTACTCTGTATTTAAAGTAGAAGTGTTAGCTCACTAACCCTTTATAGGAGCTGGCCTGTTAAAAAAACTTCTATGGATATTACATGTGTGTAGCTTTACTGTGAATTCAGAAATACCTTACAAATATATCATGTAGTTTCTGTTGTTTCTGTGTGTTGCTGCTCAAAAATTTTTATGCCCTTATGTATTTTTTCCAAGTGAATTTTCAGTGGCTAAGGTGGTGCATGAGTTATACAATTCATGTAGGCCTCCAGTGATACTTTTAAAATTTTATTCAGCAGCCTTCGCATGATAATAATTCCATTGAAACTGAAAAGTCTTCAACAAGGAGTGAACATACAGGATATCAGTTTCAGTAAGTTAATAATTAAAAGTAATAAGTTTGCTTCCCCAGTTATATTCACTTTTATCTTTACATATCATTTTTCACTATTTCAAAACTCATTTATGGTTTTTAATATTATTAATTATTATAGCTAATATTTAATGTTTTACGTGAGTCTTGAAACTGGGTCAAGAACTTACATGCAGATCAAGTTGAGGCTTACTGATAAACTTCTCAAGAAACATTGATTTGTTTTGTTAGAGACAGTCTGCTTTTGGGGTATCTTTTGTTTGAATCAACTTTTGTTTTCCGTTATTACAACTTCCTACCAAAATGTCTTTAGTGGTGCAGTAGCACTTGGGAAAAAAGAGTGGTTCAAACACTCAAGATTTGTCTTAAAGTTTAACATTATTTTCTGGAATCCTTTTTATTCCCAGGCCAACTGTGAAGTTTAAGACTACTTCTCTTCCTGGTATGCCACTGAGTCACAAATACTCACCCTCTCCCAGTGGAACCAAAAAATCAGTTCCTATCTCCTACAGCAATCATATGGTATGTCAGATATTGCAGTCATGATTGTCTGTCAAAGAGTTGTCACCTCAATTGAATTATCTTTAGTTAATGTAATTATACATAAACCAAATTCATAGGAGGAAAAGTGCAGTAGAATCTAGGGAGAAGAGCAAATCAGATCTCAGCTGTAAAATAAATTAAGTGACAAAAATCAACTAATATCAATAATTTTTTTAAAAGATGAAAAAATGTATTATTTCATGAAAATTTAATTTAATTTTTCTTGATTCTCACTCAGGGTTCTGTCCCATCAAGATATTGGGCCAATGAAAAGTATGTCAAGCTGACATTATTTGATGCTTTTTAATTTCTCTACTTTTAACTAATTGATCACAACTTCTTGATTGTTTTCATTATCTTCTCTTCATTTAATGAAAAAAGTTGGTGTTAGTATAGTCGCATTGTCTTTAGTTAATTCATGTGAGACAAGTGAGTTTTAAGAAGATTTCCATTTGATTAACAGTCCAAGAATATTATACAGCAGACAAAGAGACAGATTAAAGGCAGAGGAACAAGCCAGAGAGCACTGCCGCAGATTGAAACGAACATCAGAGGTAACATTCAAAAAGCAGTTTTTGATTTGGAGAGAGGCAAAATGATATCACCATTTACAGTGTTTTGATGTCTCAAGTTTTTTTTCTGTTTGAGAGAAATTTGGTACTGCAAAAAAAAATTTTGAAAACTCCTGGGTGATAATAAAATAATATGCTTTCAAAGTGGTGTTTTCAGGTATTTTCTTTTTGATTATATTAAAAGACAGGGGCTCTGTATTCATCGGACATGAGGGAATTCTTAGGAAACAAAGCAGAATTCAGCCTAAATAATTAAATTTCAGTATTTACTTTGTCATTTTATAGATAGCTGTGGAGTACATACTCTTATTATTTTACATTACTTTTCACAACAAAAAAACCTGGAAAACATAATCAACTAAAATAGAACATCAATAGTGTATTATTTTCTAGTAAATTTTGAGCATTTGTAATGAACTCTCTCTGTAGATTCGGCACCATAGAGTTGATAAACAGTATTACATGGCTGGAACCAAAATCCCATTGCAAGGAAGGTGAGGTGATCTCCTCAACCCATAGTTTTCTTTGCACCTGTTGTTTGTTCTTGTCATGCAGCACATTGGTGGAAAAAAGCAGGTTGCATGATGAGACCAAACAACAGCTGTGAAGGAGACTTCCCTACCCATTATTGGTGAAAATTGCCTGTCTGATACTTTTGCCTGTTATATGTCACTGCAATCATATTGTACAGTTTCATTTGGAAACCAAAGCTGGTAGATAATTTTAAAGTTTCCTGAAGTTATTTAGCTCCAAATGTTTGGAATATGTGATTTACTTTCAAAGGTGACAAATTTGTAAATATTAAATAGTCATATTGTCAACTGAAAGAATTGCTTTGAAGGAATCAGTTTCTTAAAAATGTAGCTTTAACTATCAGTAGTTACTGAAATCTAAAAATATAGCTGCTGCTTTTAAACAGATCCCTTAGCTCTTTACACCCTAACATCAGTATGAATTTTCTCCACACTGCTCTCAATACATTTCTCACAAGGAGAATTTGTTTAAGAATCAAGAGTTTCTTAAGTTAGTGATAATTTTCTCCATTCTTGTGACCTTTATGTGTGATTCAGCGGTGATATTCTAGGGAGAAATTAGATGCTGGTCACTCTCATGACAGGGAGACAAAATGTTTAATTTGAGTGAAGTACCATTATTGATTTGCTCCAGGTATGACGTAGACAACACTGATCTGTTAAGGTTGAGGCTTCTTGCACAGCAGAAACAACTTACAGACTACAATGCTGCCAAAGATGCAAAGTTAGTGTTAGAGTAATAAGAGAAATATGCTACATGCTTTAATACCAAATAAATTGCAGTTAGTAAAGTATTAGTATGTATAAACTAAAACTTATTGTGATCTTTGTGTTGATAAGGCTGTCAAAAGCAATCTGAAACTTGAGAGCAAGGAATTTTACCAGCCCCATGAAAGGGAAGTTTCACCAAAGCTACTTTCTGACCCAGAACACTCCTCTGTTGTAGCACATATACTAAATATTTTGACAAATGGAGATAACGTGACAGAATAGAACAAAATACCCAATGGATATTGATATTTTTTCCTATATTTATTCAAAAACAGTTTTCCAAGCAGCAGTCCCCGAGACAGTCCTAGTGGCCAGTTGAGTACTCCTGTGCCAGGTAGTGGAGTCAGGGATCCCACCTCTGTGGTAAGCTTTGAATAACCTACGTTCCTCTTGAAATAAAATCAAGGCGGATTGCTCTGAATTAACCAAAACGTTTTTAAGTTTGTTTCTTGTGAACTGTTTAAATATGGCCATGGTAGAAAGTCAATAAGTAAATTATCGCTAAAATAGGATTTTCGTTTTGGCCAACAAGCGCGGATCTGAAGACAAGCCTAACTGCCTTACTGCAGTATTGCTTTCCACCTTGCGTGAAAAAAAAAGATGAAAATTAATTATATGCTTGTATCCTTAGGGTGATATCTACATGAGGAAAAAAGCTTGTTTCGCAGGTTTTTCTTAGGGTATACAACGCAAATGTTTTTTACTTGACAAGTGCACTCTTGCACTGTAATGCATGCTAATAAATTGTAAACATAGTTTGACAATAAACAATTTCTCTTCTTCATCTTGTGTGTCAAGGCCTTATCGTCTGCCAGTGATATCGAGAACCCAGATCACGACGGAAAATGGGCTGAAGAGGAATCAGATGAGAGTTCCGTGGATGAATTTGACAGCATATCCAACAAAGGAGGCAGACGAGAAGAATTTGAAGCACGTAAAGCTCTCGCTATCGAAGGCAGAAAAGCGCAAGAGAAACTGGATTCAGTGGGAGAAAGACTAACAAAGAGTAGCGACGGAACAGAGAGTAAAAAGACACCTTCTGCAAAGACAAAGGCAAGTTCTTCTGCAAAGACCGCCAAAAAGGGAAAAATAAGATTTAAGGAGGATGAAAGAACGGCTAGTAATCAAAAAGCGATTAAGGATCGCGAAAGAAAGAAAATTGAAAAGAAAGGACAGGAAGATGGTAATGGAGCGGAGAAGAAAGAAGACGCAATAAGCAATGGTGTTGAAGCGAAAGAGGAAAAGAGGAATAAATATTTAGATGAATGGCTGGGGATAAAGAAGGAAGTTGAGGATACTCGTTACCAGCCTGGAAAACCTCCGCCAAACAGGTTAGTATGGACACCATTATGAAGATGAAAAACATGAAAACACCAAATACCCCCCCCCCCCCCCCAAAAAAAAAACAAAACAAAACAAAACATCACATAAACCAAAAGCAAGAAAACACAACAACAATTTTAAATTATTTGTTTTACCATTGGCGTTATTTGTTTATTTTAGACAATTCAGTAACCTAATTAACAAATCGAAAGTGGTTAGGCGTGGTCTGTACTCTTATTGACAACGGCAAATCGGCCTATCAGATTGAGACATTACTGCCGATTGTGGTAAAAAACAAAATAGAAACGTCGTAGGAATGGTCCATAGAAGAGTCGAAGACCCCTTAACAAGAACAGGCCACCATCGACTTCTAATCACATCCCGTCAGCGTCACAGTTATTCCCTATCAAGAATCTTTAACATGGACGAGACACCGATGCGGTTCCAATCGCACTCTCGAATTCGAATTAAAAGTTAATAACCAATGATTGCATATTGTGTTTCTTTACTTTAGCTCGGCTTATAAGTAAATACATCCCGATTTAGTAGAGTTTCCATGCGCTGGAAAAATGTTTTTCAAAAACTTTCGGCTATAAGTCGAGACCCCCTCTAGAGCCCAAATTTTAATTCACTTCAGTTTTAATTTGTGTAAAAAATCGCTCGGCTTATAGTCGAATAATACGGTATAAAATTAGTTAATTATACGGTATAAAATTAGTAGGCCGTACCAATGAATGAAACAAATCATTCAGAGGAAACAAGGGTAAAAATCTGAATTGCATGCAGAGCAGTTAGCTGTATTTACAAGCTTGGCTAAGGAGCCAAAGTGTTGCACAGAGTTTCCTTTTAATCCTTTTACATGTCATTTGTAGAACTTTATACCACATAAGCCATACAGTATCCACAGGAAAACGAAATTTCTTCCCAAGCATTCTATTTATTCTTGAGATATTCCACCGGCAATTGTAATAGTGATGCTTGAAGGAAGGACACTTCATAGGGCATAGTGCTAACATGGCACCATTTATCCTCTTGGACATCATAGCTCTCTACAGAGTTCAGTTTATTCTGTTTGCTGCCATCATCTCCTCCAAACAGATATACACAATTTCCCACACTGACTATGCCGCATGCAGCACGGGGTACAGTAGGACTAGAAACCAGGCTCCACTGATTCAAGCTTCTGTCAAATATTTCGCAGCTTGTTTCAATAGTGTCAGAGTTCATATCACTGAATCCTCCTACGACAAGTATTTTCCTGCCTGTTATGACGGCTGCAGCAGCAAGTCTCCTTGCATTCAACATGTCTGGAGCTGATACCCATTGATCAATCGCTGGATTGTAGCACTCCACATTCTTAAGGCAAGAATTGCCGTCAGATCCAGCAATGACATAGATGAACTCTTCCAGGGCAACTGCACAGTGTTCACACCTAGGAGTTTTCATCAGTGAAAGTTCCTTCCACTGGTTGGTTTTGTCGTTGTACTTGCTTGCACTGCCTATGAGGGCCTGTTCAGAATCTATGCCACCCATCTTATAAAGTTTTTCATGGTGGTTTGTGAATGAAATGGAATAATGAAATCCTAAATTTCCATCTCTTTGGAACCAGTGCCTTAGCTCTGGGTCGAAAACCAACAAAGACGCTCTCTCACCGCCCACCACGTACAATTTGCCACCACACACTGCAGCAGCATGTTTTGTGCGACCGTAGGACATCTTTGGTAGTTCCAACCACTCTCCGGTGTCGAGAACAAAAGCAAATGCTCGGTTAGATGACGAAAAGACATTTTTAGCGCTGCCTCCGTTAAGAACCACCACTAGCTCTTTTGATTTGAGGCACCGACGAGGTCTTTGTCGTAAAACTCGGACTTGATCTGGAAACAGAAAGGTATCCAGGCCCTGGAGTAGAATGCTTGTACATGTAGGATTCTGCGTGACTAGTTCTTCTTTATCAAGAATCTCTCGTAGACTGTACTTTGACATCGAGAAAGCTCTGACGCCTTTCAGTAGTTCAGATAAAAAGCATTCTCGCGATGAAACATCGTGCTTAACCCAAAGAATGACTGCTTCGTAAACATCTTCTTCTCTAGTGACGACTATTTCGTCCGAGGAGGTAAGTTCCTTCACCCTTTCAAAGTCTAGAGATTTGAAATCCTCTGACTTTACCAGAGGAAGAAAATTTTCCCCTTGAAAGGTTACTGCTGCACGCTTCAGAGCCTCACAATTCAACTTTGAAGCGAAAGATTCCAGCGCAAGACAGTTTGTAATGCTTATCGTTCCTTCCAGAAATTTCGAAGCTTTTGATTTTAGACTGGGCAGCATTAAAAAGTCGGCCGTCTTGATCAAGTCTTGGGCTGTCGAGGAGTCGGTTTTCGCTTCCCCAGTGTAAATAAACTGAAGAACTTCTCTCAGTATAGAACTTTGAATGTTTTTGAGTTCGACGAAATTAGTTTCGCCCTCTTTGAAGTCAGAGGTAAACAGAGCTCGGAAATATGGACTGGCGGCAATCAAAACACATCGGTGGGCAACAAAGTCGTCTCCTTCGGCTCGAATAGTTATGTCACAAAGGATGTTCGATTTTCTGAGCTCGTTAAGGTTTTGAAGTAAATCATTTTTGAACTCTTCATCCAACAGACTCTCCATTGCTTCGGTGGCCATTTTGTAGCTTCAACACAAAAACTGACTTACTTGCAAATTAGGTCACGCGACATTAGCTTCCATGGTACAACGGGCACGCGTTTAAAGGTCATTCTACAAATGTTTTTTTTATTCTCAATGACCGTTACTCTGTTTTGAGAAGTCGGATGACCGTTTGATTTAGATGACCGAGTGCTTTATCGTTTTCTATTCATTTTAAGGTAAATTTACACACATACTAATAAAAACCATAATAATTTTCGGTCTCGCTTAGAATATATTTATGTCTTAGGCTGAGTTCACACTTGGTGCTCGAGCACGGTGCCTGAGTGCGATTCTTGATGGGCAACAATTGTCAGAGACTTTGATTCGTGCGTGACACATGTCAGATGATGAGTGTGAACATTATGGACATTGATCGGTTTACATAATCAACGCAACCTTAAATGACCTTTTAAATCAGTACTTGGCAACAACCAATCACAATGTAGAGAATATCGTATAAGAGAGTGATTTCTTACAAATTTTGCAGAGTAGCTTTTTACACACCCGGTGTAAATAAGCGAATACGAGAGTGGAATAAAACAGTTTGATTGAGTCTCGTTCGTTAGAATTCTATCCCTAGTAAACAGGACAAAGTTTACAAAACAATGTGAACACACCTTTTTTTCCACGCCAGAATTCGGACACCGTGCCTGAGTAAGATTGGCAGTATAACTTATATGTTCCATTAATGTCCGTTTGATAATGATTAGTTAGAACTCGATCGATCGAATCGAACTCTCAGAGAGGAGAGAAAAGAATTATTTGTTATTCGTTTTTATTGATATATCTGATTGTTAATAATCTTTGGTACATGTTAGTCACGTCCGAGAGTTAAAGGGTTACTTTCCAAAAACTGTTTTCTTTCTCACCAGGATTTTTATGTCATCCAAGACTGGGGGAACTAAAAAGGCCAGTGGAAAATTCTCTTCGTAAGTTATCAATACCTTTAAGGAAGTTCTCTTTCTACTTGAAAAATGTGGGCGCATTTTGTTAGTTGCTCTGTAATCTCCAATGTTCCTTGCATAGGAACCGTGGTAATTCCAAATTAATACCAAGATTTGTCTGAGTGATCATCTTTTCTCGAAGACTGGATTGCTGTTGCGTTTTCATTGCAGGACATTTTTGACCGAAATCACAGAGTCAAAGGCAGCTGAAGACGATGCATTTCTTACACCCGTAAGTGATATTTACTTTGTAGTTCTGGTCTATGTCTAAAAAAAAACAGGGTCATCTTGATTCATCTTAACAACCATCGTTCAAGAGTTTCACAATTTCGATTATTCAGCGTCAATCAGCAGACATCTCTGCGAGGTTTTGGTTTTTAGATTTTGAAATTGAGCTATTATCTCCTTTTGTTTTGTGTTCCCGCTTAATTCTGTTTAGCTCCTGTAAACAGTGATTTGAACTTTCTACGCAAGCTACTATTCTCGTAGATTACCTTTTGCATCCGCATTGATATTTCCACAGACATGCGGAAGGACTCATAGAAAGACAGACAATCAGACGGACAGAAAGACAGAGAGACAATCAGAAAGACAAACAGAACGGCAGATAAACAGATAGAAAGACAGATAGACAGACAGGCAGATAAACAAACAGAGTCAGACAGACAGACAGTCAGAAAGACTGACAGACAGACAGACAGGCAGATAAACAAACAGGAAGTCAGACAGACAGTCAGAAAGACTGATAAACAGACAGAAAGACATACAGACAGACAGACAAACAAATAGACAGACAAAGAGACAAACCCATAGGCTGACAAACAGACAAAAAGTCAGACAGACAGAGAGACAGACACAGACAGAAAGACAGACAGAAAGTCACACACAGACAGGCAGGCAGACAAACAGAAAGACATACGGACAGGAAAATGGACAGACAGACAGACAGAAAGAAAGACATACAGACAGACAGAGACACAGACCCTCTGGCAGTCAAACAGACAGAAAGTCAGACAGACAGAGAGAGGGACAGACATACAGACAGAAAAAAATACAGACAGAAAAACAGACAGAAAGACATAAAGACAGACAGACGGAGAGACAGAAATTCAGGCTTAAACTTGCATTTTACGTGTATTATTATCAAATTAAATGACTGATTGATAAAATTATTTACACGTTCATATTTGTTTATATTTGTTAGGATGTCCGTTATGGAATAATCAACGATAAACAAAAGCATGTGTTTGGAACACTGTTTGACGAAGTCGACAAAGACAAAAATGGAAGCGTCACGCTCCAAGAACTTAAGCTGCGGATGCAGCCAGCTGTCACAAAACATGATATCAAACACTTTGTAAAGGTACACGTACTGTAAACGTACTTTTAAATATCAGTCGACAATGGATTTATCTGCGCACGGGCACGTATAATTATAAAGTTTGATTTTATGCGGTCGATTAGCTTTCGAATTTTTCATCTTTCCCATTTTTGTTTTGTTCTGCTTACTTGTCATCAAGGTAGATTTTTTAAGCAGTTTACTCTGAAGGAAGGATTGAAAATAAAGAACGAGAGTCTATAGAACGTAAGTTACGGATTACACCAATTCCGATTTTAATCCACTTGTTTTACTTGATTTACCTGCTAGGTGTTTGACTTAAACAAAGACGAGACTGTAGATAAAAGAGAATTTACGGCCATCTGCGCCTTGAACGACCGCATAAGTGGAGTCAGGTAAATTGTTTGTTTTTTACTCTGTTTTATTGCTTACTTCATAACTTCAAACCTTTGGAGCAATATTCAATCCGGTGTCGAAAAACCACTGAAAAGTAACGTTTTTTACAGTGACCAATTTAAACAAAGGTAAACGTCTCGATAGCCAATGGGAACTCAGAGCTTGTAGCGCGGGAAAACGCGAGTGACGAAGTCGCGAATTGTTTGAGTTTGTCATCCGATTGGTTAAGAGCTCGATGGTGGCTCGAGTTTTCTAGACCAATCACAGAGCAAAGTAAAGTAAAACTATACAAAGCGGCGTGTATTGATTTATCACTCAATTGAAGAAAATGTTCTATTTATCGTTTCCTCATCAGACAAAACTTTTCCCTTTTTTTTCTTTTTTGCAGGACTGAATCAGAAGACGCATCTTTGGCCTTGGACCTGGAAAATTTGGCTCAACATATTGTCATATTCAAGGTAAATAAAGTGATGTCTTTTCAGGGGTTTGCAAAGTCACCCTGAGGTTCTCCGAGGGCCATACATGTACCTTAAAATTAAAAGAAGTGAAAAGGCTAAAACAGCACATTTTCAGATTATGACTAGTGAATCCCTGTAAAATGTTTCTGTGTCTTCTCTTTATTCAAGAAATGCTTATTTTTAGCGGTTGAAAAAGGTCGAAACTAGTGTTTCTTCGATTGGCGTGCATTTGAAAGAAATAGTACAGAGTTTCTTTTTTATAATTTTACGATTTGACATGTCAAGGATTGAAGTCTGAAGCCTTCAATTTTTTTCTTTTTGTTATCATGGCTCTATCAATCGAGCGACTTTAACTCGTTTCTATAAGTAATCATTTGTTTTTTTCTGAAGGAAATGTTCAAAACCATTGATGAAGATGACGATAACAGGGTGGATGCTGGCGAACTTCTGGTCATGGTCTCTGCCGCCATGGAAACAGAAATAGGGGCGGACCTTCAGACAGCCAAGGAGGTGCTTGAAGGAGCACGTGACGAGTTTGGTAAGTCCGCGCAAAGAACTTGATACATGCAAGGCTAGGGTTAGGGTTAGAGACTGGATTATGTAATAAAATATATGCTTGCTGTTCATCGTGGGATTGTGTTGTTTGATTAAACAACACGACAGCCGATTTATGGGTATCCACGATCAAACAACACAACAGCCGATTTATGGGTATCCACGATCAAACAACACAACAGCCGATTTATGAGGACCGATGAGGGAACACCATGTAACAACCGGAATAATAATGAGGATCGAAATGCACTAATAACAGCATACCAACGTGCTACAAATAGCGAGACGTAAACAATTGACCTCATCGCCTGATGAAGACTAGCAGTATTGCAGTCGAAACGTCGCGATCTACATCAAAAGTGACTCTATCGTGAGACAAACGAACAAAGTTCATCTCCTACACTGGATTATCTCTTGTAAAATGTAAAATTCTTAAAAGGAGCCTCTCGCACTGATGTCCCCTTCAATTTTGAACTGCAAAAAAAGCCTTATTAATAATCCCCTTTAAGAATCCAGTTATCTTTTTTATTATTTGTTTGTTTGTTTGTTTGTTTGTTTGTTTGAGCTATGGACATTTCTGGTGGTTAGGGGCGGTCAGTATTTATCGCGGGGGAGGTATGAGGTTTAGAGGATTTGGTTGCGTCACGTTAAAATTTAGTTGATCCCCCCTATAAGGCTATGTAATAGTCTTGTGACCTCCCTCCCCCCCTCCCCTCCTATATGGCTATGTAATATTCTCGTGACCTTCCCCCCCCCTCCCCTCATTGGCAGTTAATTGGCATTCGGTTTTCGGTATTCCCCCTACATACTCTGTTCGTGAAAACCATGTGATTGTGATTCTCCCCTAAAATCCTCCCCCCCCCTCACCTCAGGCGAAAAATAAAGACTAGCCCCTCATTTAATGTGCAGATATTTACGTTAAGTGTCTTACTTCAAGTTAATGCTTCAAAAGAATTTCTTTCCTACGCTCGTTTTTTTTAAGGGAAACAACCAAAACAAGTTTCAACAAATTTTTTTGCTTATGAAAGTAATAACACTCGATTTCCTTGTATTTGCAGGATTTATTGACTTTATCGGTTTTATGTCGTACATACCATTCTTTGCTAAGCTTCTAAGAACCATACTGGAAAACCCTCTGTCTATTGCTGAACTAGAGCGGGCACGAGAACGAGTCAAACAGCACGACCTCACTTTCAAACCCAAGAAAAAAGCAAAGGAACCAAAGAGTTGGGAAGTGTACTAGAAAGTCTATTTCCCGCCTTCATCCACATCCAAAGCCTGGGAGCAAGCTTTCATTAGAAGCGATTCAGCGCGGGCGTTGCTTTGCCCGCCGAAAAGTATAGGGGCAACGCCAGCCGGCGAAAGGACTGAATCGGATCTCGCACTGATCATTATTAGTACCAGAGCTCTCAGCAAACCTCTCCCCAACTCGTCTCAAACCTTCTGCGGGTGCTTCCTGCCGCGCTCAAAATAAAGGCCTGATTGTATGTTACTATATCGGTGACAAGGATGACAGTGTTGAAATTAAGTTTTAGATTGCATGAGTACTCATCGTTCACAATGGCGGGCTTCATCATCGCTCTTTTATGTTCATAAAATTCTGCTTTCCTGGCCTCGCTTTCCGGTGAAAATTCAATTGTTTTAAAACTTGTTATCGAAGCTAGGAAGAATATAAGGAATAGCCATCGGGTTGGCCAATTATGAAGAATGTCCATGTATGGAGAGTGTTCATTTGACTTGTGTTTTAGGTTACGGAAACCCAAACGGGTGCAAGTAAGAGAATCGAGATTGTGCTCTCTTACAATTGTACCCAAGCAGAGGCAAATTTCCTCCATCGAAATATTCTGTAATACTCAACCCGATGGTGTTCGTTTGAATATGGTTGATATTTTTTATATTAGGTTTTAATACAACAATGATACAACATGGCTTCAAATTTGAGATATATTTACATATTTTTAATACATATTTTTAATCAGAGCAAATATTTCATAGCAGTTTTTATTTCATTCATGTTTTTCCAGGTCAGTTTGCAAAAGTCAGGCATTTTTTGATATTGGTGACTGGGACTACTTTATTATTCTCTGCGGTTTGATAATAAAATATACCAATTACGTAAAGATTATATTTGTAATAATAATAATAATAATTATGATTATTATTATTATAATTCTAATTTAAACAACCTTGGATCAAAAATCTTGGAAAAAGATCATACACGCTTTTATTGCATGTAAATTTTGTTTTTTTTTTGGTTTGTTTTCTTTCAGTTGTTTGTTTGCTCTTAAGTAATCGTGTTTTTTATTTCAAAAAGATAAATTGTTCTAAATTATCGATGACGTCGTATGCGCTTTAACCCTTGAACTCCCATGAGTGACCGAGACAGAATTTCTCCTTACAATATCAATACAATATCAACCAGATAAGCGATGAGAATAAAGAAAAATATCAATTTGGGGATAATTAGTTCATCTAATACTAAATTCTCTGAACTTACATTATAGTAATTGTATTGTTGACAGTAAAGAGATTGACAAATTTGATCTGGGAGTTAAAGTGATAGCCACGATTTATCGACAAAAAGTAGTCATGTACATAGGTTTTAATGACTGTAGGAGTATATGTTTTACAAAGTAGATATTAAATATCTTTATTCTAATTGTTTTTTATTTTTCTGTCCTAAATGAAGGCATTTATTGCGATATCCGAGCTATGTGTTTTTTCATTATTTTAATTAACTGGAAGTCTTAAAGCAACTCTTAAACATTAACTGATTCATTTACGTTTGGTTTAAACGGTGACATTAATGCACATGAAATATATTCTTACTCGCCGTTGTTGCTGTTTGCATATCCGGTAACGTGGCGATGGAGCCACATAAACTTCCTTGGAGCCACATAAACTGCTATTTCAACTACCACGACTGTGGTAATTATACGAGGCATGATTTCAACGCCACCGCTTTCGCTTCTCAGGTGATTACAGCGTCGTTTTCATTCGGCTTCTATTTTTGCGTTCTGTTTATAAGTGGGTTAGGCGTGTGCTTTAAGTCTGCAAGGAAAGTTTTCAGTTCCCACGCTACCATCATTCTCTTTCTCATCGGCGCTATTATGGTCTCCTTGAATGTGTTCAACACGTCCGATAACAAGACAATCATGTTGTACCATCGCATTGTGTCCGCCTCTTCGGTCGGGATTGTTTTCTTCTTGCTAGGCGCGATTTGCTTCTTTCAGAAGCCAACTGGGACGGAGACTTCAACGCATCGCACCTTGGGGGAACACGAACCATCCAAAGGGCTTCTGGTAATTATAATTACCCTTCCCCTTACTATGACAGAGCTTATGTTTCTGTCAGGCGCCCAAGCTTCGGAGAAAGAGATGCCTTCAAAACAACGTAAGTTGTGGCCCCTTCTTGTGACTTACGAAGCAATTTTCATTGTGCAAAAGTCCATCCAGGCGGCAGTTTACATCTCGTTAAGAAATTTAAGAATTCGTGAAACTTACAGAGAAAATGCCCAGTTTTATTTCAAGATCTTGGCATTTTTCAACTTTGTTCAATGGGTAGACTGCCTAGTGAATGTGGAAAGTGACTTGGTTTTGATCAGAGCAAGGATTACGTACGGCGAGTGGTTCGTCGTGTTGGAATTAATGTACAAAGCGCTCACCATCGACTATCGTCTCCTGTGTTCTTTCATATTCCTTGAGCATTCGATGCAAATTCAAAACGAAACAGGTGGTGCTGAGACAGCTAACGCCGGCAGAGAAAATGAAACAGCCTTCAGAATCTACAATATGACCTGTTCAGATCGCCAGTACAGAAACCTTGGGTATCTACTGGGATTTTTCTGTTTTCTCGCTCCATTCAGCTGCGCTGTTTATTACGTGCACAACCTTGAGTTGCCTGTCTACATACGTGTTGCAACGAATTTCTTGAATGCCCTCTGTATTTTTGTATGTGGGATGATTCTTTTGCTAAAGAACAAGCTTGATTTCGAAAGGAAGGACAAGGAGTCAATGAGCGTTAAAATCATGGTGAGTACTGCACTGATAATGTGAATTAGGATAATCCGTTGATAGAATAGTGAGAGGGAAAAGATTTTGGTCACGGAAAAAAACACAGTACCACTATTTTGCCACCGGTTTAAGAATTCTAAGGAATTGAAACTTCACTGAAGCCTGGAGAATACAAATCATTCATGCAGGCGTTGGAGAGCATTAAGACTGAGTCTTGTAAGACCTTACAGTCAAAACCAAAGTAATCACAACATCCAATCAGAATGAACGAAAACATCTCGACGAGCCAATGAGAGAAGAAATAGGGCATATCGCTTGAAGCTCGAGTGACCAAGCAGGGATTGGTGTTCGTTTCGAATCTGATTGGTTGAGAAGGTGGCCCTAGTTTCTTCGACCAATCACGATAAAGCAATCCAGATCACTTTCGACATTCGATTAATTTTTTCTCTGTTTCTTCGTTAATCTCTCGCGATGTTTTCGAAAAAAATTACCAGTGTCTCACAGGTCCGAGAAAAAATCTTTCAAAGGAGTGATGACACTAATGTAAGTTAATGATTAATGAATCGCTAAGATTACCGCTCATATTTAATGGCGATAAAATAGGGAGGGAGATTGAGGAGAATTATAAATGCATTTTAACATTGTGCTATGTGTGAGTGTATTGGTGCATTTCAATGATGCATTTGAGGAGTAGATTCTAGTGTTAGTAAACGGTGTATGAGAGGATGTACGTAATTACTTTTTTTTTCACTCATCATTTCTTGCGCTGGTCTTCTTGTCTGTTTACCAGGCTTGCTGTCTGGGTTCTGTTGGTTTTGCGAGTTTGATGATCAATGCTGCTCTCGCTCAGTTCTGGGCGAGCAGCCAACATTATTTACGCAGCTACCATTGGGCATGCGCAGAACTGTCGGTTCGCGGCCTCACGGCTACTTTCTTGATGGTCATGTTTCTTCACGTGAATGCTCGCGCCTTGCCTTTAAACAATCCAGATGTGAAGATCAACCACTTTCTCGTGCCTGCTTTGATGCTTGGAGTCATGGCTAATTGTGCAGCGTGTTTGGTTGATCAATATTTTGGTCCTCTTGATAAAAGAATAAGGTATGTCATTTCTTATGTCAAACCTATGTGATCGGGTTTATGTGTTAATTCATGCATTATTTTCGATAAAACTTCTCTGCTGGAAAAAACAAATTGTGTCGTTGCAGACTTGTTCTTCAGTTTTTAGTGTCATGGTTTGCAATCTCATGATACTCAATAGAGAAGTGCCCTTGTGATTGATGAAACGAACTCAACCTTAAATTATTTTATCTGATTATTTGCAGATGTGAGATTACAGGAACGAGTTTGAGGTTGCTGCACGACGCAGGAGAACCTATGTACCTTGGATTCCTAATCCACGTGTTTCTTCATTTCCTCATTATGCAGACACGGATGGGTCGATCCAAGAGGTCCCTCCCAGGAAACGAGAATACACCATTGTTGCATCCGAATGGAACAGATATCGATGGATCGTGAATTTAAGATCTTCTTAACCTACTGGGCGGACCAAATGCTGTAACTCTTAATTTAAATTTCCGCTCGTGATCACCCAGCAAATAAATCTGTGCGGTCAAATTCGTTTAGTAGCGATTACAATGCGAAAAAACTCCCATTCACTGAATTTCCAACATAAAGAAGGAACACTGTCGCGTAAGTATGGGCTTCAACTAAGGTAGATTGGATTTAAAATAAGAGCGAGGAGCCGTGAAAATTGCAAAACGAGAAGTAACCACAACCTCCGCGTTCACGTGGTGCCATTTTCGTGCGCCCATTTTCTCGTCTGTCTTCATCAACGGGGAGCCTGGCACAAGCTGTCATACGCAGCCAACTTGAAGCACTTTGATTGGTCAAGAGGGTGGCTGCACAAGTTTCCTAAACCAATCACAGAGCGATTTATCTCGATACTCAAGTGAAAGTCCCTCGAGTAAGAGTTACACCAATACTTCCAAACAAATAGTACCAGAGATTTTATTCTTCTTCGAAACGAAGGCATTTCTGTACATTAAGACCAATCAAATTTCGCCGAACTGGCTCGACTTCAATTTAGATCTGTTAATCCAGTAATTAAATCAAAAGAGAGTTCCATTTATCCATCTGATCCGGACAGCACAGGAAATCGAGGTACATAAGAAGTAGTTACATTAAATTTTGAGGTATTTAGCTACTGTCAATGAAATATGATCAATTCTAACGAAGGAAGATAACCATATAAAATTCTCTGCTTGTGGACTTTGGCCTAGAGTTACTTTCCGGTACCATAGTTCGCTCCACCAGCCTTGACGAGAACTGATTTTACATGATCGAAATCGAGTTCCTCTGGATCGTTTGCCAAGATTTCCACGGCAAAAGCCTGCAACAAAAGCAAAAGATGGGAATCAGAATATTTTTGTTGTGTCACAATAAAATTTACGTGATTCCCCCATAAGGCTCTTTAATATTCTTATGATCAACCCCACCCACCCCACCCCACTCCCTCACTGGCAGTCAATTTTTTTTTTTTTATATTCCCTCCTTTATACTCTTCGGTGACGACTGTTCCCCCTTCGTTCCCCCTGAAAGTACTGATCCCCCAAATATACTCAGCCCCTCTCCCCCAAGGCGATAGAAAATAGGTGATCCCTTGAAGAAATGAGACTTTTTCTTGCTTAAATCTCACCTGAACAACCTGTTTAACTGAAGCCTTATCAGTACTGACTTTGGCCTTTTGTAGTGCTCCAACGCCCTCACCGATCCATGTTATGAAAGCAAATTTGGCTCGTTTGCTGAGTTCGTCGCCAGTCTCGATGCGGACAAACCCATAGACGCGTTCACCCTCTGTTAAGACAAATTATATGTTTTCAGACGAAGCAAAGTTGTCATCTATGAGGAGTAGGGGGGAAGTTAATCTCGTACCCAGATCCTACCGTGTAACTGTAACCGCTTAGCCGGGAAAGGTTCGGGTACGAGACAAGGGAGAAGTCTTAAGGTGCAGGGGACCTCAATGTTTGTCTGCGAAAAAGAAAGATGATATATCATAACAAAGGAAAAAAAAAAAAAAAAGGAACTGGCATGTCTCCGAGTGCTAGTAAGGCACTTGTGTATGATGTACCGCAAGATATACGCTCTGCGTCGGTGAAGGAAGAAAAACGAAAAAGGTTTAAGCCACGAGAGAGTCAGTCTTCGTTGCCGGCAGTTTCGTGTGCGCTTTGAGGCTTTAAGCGGCGAAGACGAGAGGGGTGTGAAACGGAAAAAGCGTGAGCTCAAAAAATTGCCTACTACGCCGGATGCGAGTGAGCCATGAAGCCATGACAAATGCCCTTCCCCTGTACCTCACAATTTCGTGCCGAAAATAAGTGGTTACGACGAACTTCTTCTCGTCGTTCGCCACTACGCGACCTCGCGTGCAAACGAGTCTCTTGCTCGCACCCTGTGAGTTCGTTTCTCTATTAGTCTCCCCAAATCCTAAAAATCTCAAGATCTGTATATTAATTCTCCTTCTCTGTTATGTCTTTTTAAGTGCCAACTAAGACAACATCCCCCCGTTGAAAGCTGGAACCACTGTAAGAATATATAACTCACCGGTAAAGTGTGAACGGAATTCTTGGTAGTCAGTTCCTGATGCGGCGTGTACGATAGTCTTGTCACTATATTTGTAAACAGCCCTGAAATCATAAATAAAACAACGGAATTTACACCCGCAAAAACCCCGCATCTTCCTTATTCTTGTTAATAATTAGACAAGACAATAACTAAATGATGGAAAATAATAACAGTTCCTTCGTATTAGAATATTTTGTCGGCGAGATAGTGGGGACGAGATGGAAACCTTGCCTCTTTTTTCAGTTCGTACCATGTCACAACCTCTTTTGTTTAGGAGTGAGTTTAAGTGAGGAAAGGCGAACTCGATCTACTATGAGCCTATCTTTTCCCGTTAGATCAATTCCCCAGATAGCTGTTTGGCACAGAGTTCATTGCAAACCACTTGCAACGTTTCCAGTCGTTTGGGGTCAAGAGATGCTTTTTCAACCATATATTTACCGGGGCCCAGCCGAAGGCTGGCACCGGTCATAAAATGCAGACGGTTTCACATTCGCGAATTTAACAGGCTAAAGCAGCATTCGAGCCACGATTTGGTACTTAAAATATGGAGGAATGATAACACTGAAGCGACTTTAAGAGTTTTTTGTCTCTGATTGTGAATTACATCAGCATTAGCCTCCACAGAAGAGGGGGGAGTGGTGCGAGAGATTAACTATATTTATGCAATCCCGTGTCCCACTGGGCCCCGGTAAGTTCCAAGTAGTGGTTCTAGTTTGCATTGATAGTACTGACTCTTCCCAGTAACAGCAGTAGCTGGTAACACAGTGACGGAACTTGAAAAATGGTTAGGTGGTCGACGGGATTTGTTCACTTGATGATTTCATATTGAAACAAGTGAACAGAAGTAACAAGCAAGTAACAAAATATTGACTAGTCCCGCGTCGAAGGACGCCACCAGAGGGTCTATTAAAATTTAACCCATTGAGTTGATACGGTATAAAATTTAACATCCGGAAGGTGCTATCTTGAATAATTTAACACCACTCTAGAGAAATCTACCTTCGCCTGTGTGTAGTCGTACCCTTCCCCCGCAAGGGGAGGGTACGACTGCACGTAGGCTAAATCTGCCCGTTACGTTCTATGGCTACCTCGTTGAAGTTCTTTGAGAGGCCGCACAACGTTACCTTGATGGGAGGGGTGGAAGCGTAAAAAAGTGACTAGACAGTTTTTTTTTCGGCGGAGAGAGTGCGAAGTACCGTTAGACTCTCTTGCGCTCCCGCTAATTAAAAATGACGCCTGGTCGCTCGTTACGCTTCCCGGCCCTCAAATCAAGCGTTGCGTGACATTCCCTCTGAATGGTCGCGAATGAGTTTAGTAATCCTAATGACGCCACATTTATTTGGAGACAGGAAATGTTAGAAGGATTGGAAAATCATGAACTCATCTAACGCGATTTATTTTCTCAGACCTTAATTCTTTCAAACCAAGTCTTAAAAAAATTTAGAATCATGAGAGGACGGGATCTGTCTTTATTTCTCTCGAACATATGTTTACGTAACAGAGCACCGCACGTTGCGTAATTTTTTCATTTTTGTGATTATTATTCGATTTTTTTCATTTTCCACCGAAGTTTCGAGGACGCATTATGTTCACATATTTCATACGTTAATGAATTTGTTCTACTATGTGACGGTCGATCCGGCTTGATCCAAGTGTTCGAGGAAAATGTCCCACAAATTCTTAAATTTGTCACTATCGATCTTGAAATCCACACTAGTAATGGTCAAATGAACAAAGTTCATCTTCCTTTTGCTTTCTTTGTTGCTTCAAATGCGTTTCCTGGAATGTTTTTTCTCCATTACATTTATTTCTGTGTATAAAATTGGAGGGCGTCTGCCTGTGTTTCCTTGACACTCCTCTGTATAAAGGGGCGTCCCCTGGGTTTTTCTTTACCAATCCAGCCACGCGCTACACGAGGCGATTAGGGAAGCCGGTTTTAGCTCGTGTTGAACGAGTTTAATTAAAATTCAACTTTCGTTGCAACTTTCTTCAAGAGTCGGCAACCGCGTCTTGCCGTTAAAAATCGGCTCGGGTAATATAACCTTTAAGTTTACGTTCTCGAAATTTTTAGCAATCCCGGATAACGCCTAGCTTCAAAATCTCCTTAAATAGCCTGATATAGATACTCCCTCCCAGGAAGTGTGAAAGACAAACACGGCTGCCTCTAAATAAATAATTTTGAAGTTTATAATGCACTTTGGAAGTTAAATATTTCTACAAAAAAATTTCGAGCGTGCTTCAACAATTTGCTCACAAAAGCGATATTAATCCACTGATCATAAGATATTCATCTGTCAACTCTACAGCGAATATCGATGAGTTATTTCCGTAATCACGAAGTCGATGTGTTAATCTTTTAAGCGGAAATTTCGACATAAGTAATGTAAGACCTGCCCAGACAAAGTTGCTCTCAGATGTCACTCTCACTATTCACTTTTTGAAAAATATCGCCCATTCAAACATTAGAAGTAAAATGGCAAAGTGCGAGAGGAAATAATCGTTTTTTTCTTATCACTTTGAAGCACCTAGCCGCATTGCCGATCTGTCTAATAATGAGGGCAATAGATTAAACTACCGTAGCCTTGCAACAAGATATTTGTTTTACCGGCTGGTTTGGTTTCTAGAAACAAAACGTTTGAATTCATTTCAACTCACCAGTTTGTTTCAGATTTATCGTCCCGAACATCGAGGTAAGACTGAGAGATCGCATCTTTATCGATGGCCGCCATGGTGCGTATCAAAGTGATAATAAGGAAAAAATTACGGTACCACGAAGATTCACGTGCGATTACTGACTGATGCGAACCGAACCAACACCTCCGATTAAGTATCACAATGGAGTGACGTCACTTGATAATATGTTAATTGTTGGTCATACAATCCAAAATTAAAACGCATGAAATTATCAAACAATTCGGGACCGGTTCCTGATAAAGCCACAAATATTCAGCAACTTGATAACAGTGAACTTAGCATAAAAATTAGCCAAAGAAAACTCCAATTCATCTGAAAGAATTTTAGAACGTGGCTAAAATTTCAATCTTATGTTGCGTGACGCAAATAACACGATGATTTTTAAATATTTATTTTCCAGTGGCATGCGTGACAGAGGCTTTCTAATTGCTTTTAATTTGCGATTCATTACCTTTAAAATATTTCATGATAATGACTGAAATTTTCTGGAAACTAGAATTTTACATATTTGGACAAGTTTTGATTTTCTTGGGCTGTTAAACAGTCACTTCCACCTCCCAGGAAAAATCGATATTTCCTGCGGTCAGTGAGTGGATGTGTACCGCCTTCATTTTGCGTAAACGTGGAACACATTTCCGGCAATCTTCACGACGTAAAAATTTCAACATTCTAACGATTTTGACAAGTTTCTATTAGTCAATATATATAGAAAGGGTGTTTCCAGGAGCTTTCAATCCGCACAGCTCCGAAAAAGTCATTCGCAGCTTTTCCAAGTTGGGTTTTTTAATCTAGTCATGAATGTCATCCCCGTTTTTATCCCCGTTGTATATTGGGAGTCTGTTGTTGAAGTCAACGAGAACACGCGATCACGATTAGGAATTAATGATATTTTTCTGTCACCTAATGACCACGTCCAAAATATTTGTTTTCAAGCCTCTTCACAAACATCCGGATATTTTGAAGGTTATTTAAGAGTTTTCTATTAAAAATTAGAGAGTGCTAAGTTGTCTAGAAAATTAATGAATATTTAGAGACGTGTCTACCATTTTTAGCTAATTTCCTGCTCAGCGCTGTCTTCTAAGACAGATTCTTCCTGAGTTACTCATTTCTTTGCCAGAATTATCGCGAAGATGCCAGCCGATAAACCGTCAGAAGTAACTACTCTATGTTGTTATGACAGTTCTTTTTACGTCTTAATTCATAGACGATCTGTTACATATTGTTCCAACTCCCTGAAGAAAAAAAAAGGGGTCCTGTTTATTTATCTATTTGTTATTTAAATTTTTATCAGAAACAAGAGATATTCTCGAGATATCAATAATTTTTATACAATTTGTAGAAATGTGCTTGAGGATTTCGACAAAAAAATTCTACGAGTACTCGACTTTAGCAGTTTTTTGGGATATTGATTCGAGGCTCTTTTGTTGTCCGTCAACCACTTCTTTATGTCCAGTGCGGACTTACGATTAACAATGAGCCGGCTTCACACCGGTCAGCAGAAACATCGAATAACATTCCCGTATGTGTCCTTTTGGCGGGAATCATAATCTTGAAAGGAACAAAGAACAACAGAGCGAAAGCGAGTTTCTTAGTCAATCATCAACTTATTATACATTTTTAGCTGTGAAGCTGCCAGGAGACGCGAAATTAAAAGGAAGACGGATTCATGCACAATCCATCAGGTAATGATTATATTTCGGAGAGTATTTTTATTCGTTACGTGGAGTGATTCATGTCTGAACGCATCTTTGGTTGATAGCGAATAGGTTCAGTTTCAATAGCGCGTCTTGTTTACAGCAGTCTTGCATAATTTTCGATTGCGAACGGGTGGTGAACAGAAAGTCTCATGATGTTTTGCCAGACATTTGTCAAATGGCAAAACCGTTCTGTAAGCTTATTTATTTAGTTCCGCGCTGTCGAGTGTACGCTTACGCTTCTGTATTAGCGATTGCTGTTGAACTTTAAACCCTAACCCTAAGCAACTTAATCTTCAAAGATTCAGTATTTCGATTCAAAGATACAGCTCTGTTATGCCCTCGCTTCATTAATTGAAGAAATGGCTCACGTTTAATGTCTTCCGAACTTATAGTGAAAAAGAAACTTATACTATGCTTTTTGTTAGTTCACAGCTGTTATCTGCGATGAACAGTTTTATATGTGCTCGCAATTTATCCAATTGATTATTTTCTTTCAGCGCTATAACATGGCCGCTCAGAGGAATCAATTTTCCAAATGTTTAATAGGAATCCCAACTTCTCCGAGTACACCCAGCAACACGATTTTGACAGAATCAGGACATTTGCACATCACGCCTCAGGACGCGATTGACTCAGAGCTAGAACCAAATACTCCGTTCAAAGTAAGCTTATGTGTGTTTACGCGGTATATTAACCTATAAGTGCTAAGATGATAAATTTTTAACATGCTCAATTGGCGATCATGGCCTTAAAACTATTCCCAAAGTCATTTTGGTTATTTTGTAATCTACCTTTTAGGAAGATTCCCGTAATAAAATTAAATTATTAGATAATTTCGTGTTCATTTAAGAAGCCTAAATTTCGAAGGCAATGAACAGTGTTTTGCATTTTGTCACGGAAGTAGAAAAAAAGCCCCAAACAATGAAATTTTTGAAACGTTTATATGCAACAGCTGGTTCCATGTAAAGCTTTCTTTTGTTTATTTTTCAAAATAAATTACTCATTGTTTTACATGAAAAATCATGTTCCAAATCTTTGGGGGTAAACATTTCTTTATTAAAACGAACAATATATTTTAAATTTACTTTCATTTTCTAGGAAACAAGGGAAAATTGAGTATAGTATAAGTATATAAAGTATAGAAGAACAAGGTTTATCGCACTTTTGATAAAAAAAAAACTGTGACTTTGGAAATTTACAATGATGATTTGTTTTATTTTTCTTAAATAAATTGTTTCTATGAATTTTCTCTTGGTATAAGGATTGTTCTGTTTTCTTGTGGCAAGCAATAAGCTCTCTCTGTTGGAAAACACTGATGTGTGGCACCTTTTCTCTCCAGGTGTTTGGCATATTCCATGCAGTCTTATTGATTGTATTATTTGACTTGTAGTAAAATGAATTATTTGTTGTATTTCTATTCTCAGGATCCCATAAACTCCTACAAAAAGAAATCAGGAAAACTTGTTTCAAAACGAAAACTTTTTATGCAAAGTGGCCAAAATTCTCCTGTGAACAAAGGTACATTATGCTAGTTAATTGATTTTCTAATACTGCCAGTGTAACTAATTAATGGAGTGCCATTTTTTCACCAAACAATTTTTTTGTGAAAAAAAATTGCAAAAAACTAAGTTATTGTATTTCCTCAAATAAGCTCTTGGGCACCAAAAAGGAGTGGGGGGGGGGGCTTTTTAAGTTAGGATAAAAATAAAAGAGAACTGATGATATATGTAAAGGACCTCTGCAAGCATATGGAGATAGACAAAACAAGAAGGGAAAAAAAGCTATTCTCTTGTACTGATTTGAAATGAGTTCAAAAAGGCAATAAAACTCTTTGACATTCTCATTTTAGAAGACTCATATATTGACACTTGACAAATCAGTCAAAAGGTCAAGCTTTTCTGAAATGTTTTAACTAGTTGTAGCATGTTTTTTAGCTGCCAACATGTTATATCCTTAGTTAGTCCTTAGGTAAATTTGTACTTCTAATCCTGATATGGTATTGTAAATTTATATATTATGTAACAGTGAATTTGTCCTATAGACAAAATTATTAGATCATAAGTAATTTGTGAACACTTATATAACGGTTTTACGTCTAACATGCAACTCACCTAGAATAGCACTCAAGCTAACTGTGGATGCACAAAAAATTGTAAATACTGAGTAATAAAATGTATGTATGTATAAGAAAATGAGGGAGGAAGGGGGTGCTTATTCAAGGGCAGGCACTTGTTTGCCATTATGGCCTGGGGGTGGGTGCTTCTTTGAGGGTGCTTATTATTGAAGTTTGGAAAGCATTTGACTCAGCTTTTTTGAACTATTTTTGTTAACAGCAAGAAGACAGGCTACAACAAAGACTCCAAAGACTTCTCCTATAATCTCACTTCCTACAGACAGCTCTAGACCTAATTTTCCATTGACAGAACGTCAACAGTTGCAATATCTCCTCGAAGTAACAGCCAGAGAAGCAAAACAAGATTTTGAAACTGGTAGCAACAGCAGTGATGAGCTGCCAATTCTTTACAACAGGACAAATGCTAAGAAAGATGTGAGCAAGGAAAATCAAATTGAGACACGGATACGAAAGAGGAATGTGCGTGGAGAAACAGCATTGCATGTTGCAGCAATAAGAGGAGACTTGGAGGATGTTGTTGCCTTGATAAAAGCTGGAGCATTGGTAAATGCCAAGGATAATGCTGGTGAGATTTTAACAGCTGAGCTGGTGAATTGAGTTCAAAAGCTTCACGCTCAGTTGTCAAATGGAAAAAGTTTTGCCAAAATAGATAGTATTGTTATTCCACGAAAAAGTGCAAATTTCCAACTTTTCTTGTTCTATTCACTGAACTAAGACTTTGGACATTAAACAGAATAAGACAGATTGTGAGTTTCAGCTTACCTGTTCTATCTAGATAGAGAAAAACTTGTTTGGCAACTTGGAAATTGGCTATTTGATTTCCATATCTGACCAGGAAGACTGCTACAGGAATGAGGGGACTGTGGTCTGATTATGGTTTGGTACATGCACAAAGTTAAGCATTGATACTATTGTTTTTTAAGGGTGGACACCCCTCCATGAAGCTTGTAACTGTGGTAACCTAAGTATTGTCCAGGAATTAGTCCAGAGCGGTGCAGAAGTGAACAGTCCAGGTTACACAGCTATTACACCATTGCACGATGCTGTAATTAACGACCATGTGGAGGTTTGTACTCTGAGAAATAAAGAATAATACATGGACGCAGGTAGATATGGAATTTCTCTTTGAGTGTTTGCTTCCATATCTTACTTGTGAATTATGGGGGCAAACACTTGAAGAGAAATTCCATATCTACAAACAATCATGTATTATTTTGTTTATCATACAAACACTATAAGCCCTTACTGACATTAAAAGTCAACTTTATTAATGAATGAAAAAAGGAAGGGTCCACCATAAAAAAAAAATCATAAAGTGCTTTGGTGATATGGCTCAAGATGAAAAAATACGTCGAATTACAACAAGAACAAACAATGGGCATGACTTTCAATTCACAGAATTCTCCATTATTGAATTTTTAGGTACCGACAGTAGAAACCTCTCCTCAGGTACACAGCCAAAATTGACATTTGGCAAATCTTCCAGTTGTTGACTTTCTTCTCAGTGATGAAAACTTCCATTCCCAAAGTCGAGAAACTTGCAATTTTTCTTTTTGTATTTTGGTTTTCTTCTGCTTTGAAGAAATTTTGAACGTCACTGTCTGTAAACGATATAACATTTTCAGTAATTTTAGCAGCCATTAACCAAGAAATTTTCCACAAATGACCTTGGATTGAGAATGGCTAACGCTTTGTTGTTTATCATCCACCTGACAGAGCAGCATTCATGTACATGTAAATAGGCTTCTGATTGTGCTCTGGCAAGTTGTGGCAAAAATGTGGAGACAGTGAGTTTAATTATGAATGAGAATGAACTTATTTTTTATTTTAATTTGCTTTGTTTTACAGGTGGTTAAGTATCTTTTGGAGAATGGGGCAGATCCTATGCTCCAAACATCTCAAAACTACAATACATTCACCTTAGCAAGATCTGAAGAAGTTCGCTACTTGCTGAATCCAGAAGAAAGAAACAGAGATGTATACTCTGTGGAGTTCCAAGAAAATATTGCCTATGCACAACACAGGGATCCTAACTTCAGTATACCAGAAATCAAAATCAATGGATCGAATAATCCTTACACTCAAAGAAACAATGGAGAGGATGTATTAGTTGATGAGATGGAAATGCAAGACTCTAAAGTGCTGTTGTCCCAAAGTGTTTCAGTTCCGAATCCAAAAGATGTGGAAATGGAGCTGTACATAACTCCACAAGACACCTTTGGAGTCAATAGGGGAAACTGTGGTGATAAACAAAATTTCTATACTCAGCAATTTCCAGCATATTATGACTTTCCTGGAAATACTTACCATTGCATCGATGAAAGAGAAGCAGCTTGTAGGAGATTGCCATCAAAAGAAGGTGCAGGAAGGAATGAAAATTCGCCAGTTGAAAGGGATTATGCAGGTTGGCATTTTCAGAGGCCTCTTCACCACGCTGTTGTTGCACAAGAGGTGCAAGTCAGAAAAATTGTCCAAGGTGCAGATGCTGACAAAATTAATCAGTGTTGTGATTTTGAAACTCTAACTCCTCATTTAGGCATAAATGAAGAGGCTTGTCCTCAAGAGATGGAGCCACCCATTGCTGTTGATCCTGGCCTGATGAATATTAAACAGTTGACAACCAAAAAACTTGGTCTGCCTGTGACATCAGAATATGAGGAGGACACAGTTATACCAGAGAAATTGAATGAGTGTCTTGATAAGGCAATGACTGAGATCTCTTCATACCTAGAAACCAGCCAAAAGTTAGATGTTGAAGCACCATTTGATGAAAGAGAGTCAAAAACAAATGGTGGACATGAATCAAAAACAGATAAATCTTTGAACAGTAAGGGGTTGTTAAACAGATTTTCTGATGTGGACTCTCCACAGAAACTTGCCTCTGTAGATCTTGCCTCAAAGCTTTACAGTAACAATTACCACAAAGAAAAACCATCTGAGGATTCTTCCCTTTACAAAACACCTGAGCCTAAAGAAGATGATCAAGTTTTACCTCATCAAGAAGTAAGTGCTGAAGAAACTGAGAGGGACGTTGTTGATCAGCAACCAAATGCCAATTTCACAAAAATGAAGACAAGAAGTGAGAGGAAGAAGGATGGAGCCACGGCAGAGAAAGGAACACGGTCTATCAGAAAGAAGAAGATATCAAGGTCCTTGGATGTAACCAATAGCCACTGCAGTCAGACCAAAGAGGAATGTACGAGCCACATTCAAAATTCCTCCTGGAGGTCAGACCTACCTAAATACCGATACAACATGTCCACCTTACATTTGAGTGTCCCAGGTTTTGATGATTTCCTTATAAACAGCAAAGGCAATGGATCAAAATCTTTTTCAGATAGGGTAGGTCACATTTTGCTACACATCTTTCAGTCTGCACATAAGACTTAGTAGTTAACAATTATTTACTAAAGTGGAGGTAAATAATGGTGGATGTTTACCAAGTTGCAAAGAGGCAAGATAAATATCTACCACTTGCACCAGCAATGAAGTGAATAATTTTTTTTAGTATATACTCTACAGATACCCAAAAATTGGTTGATATCTTTTAATATACCAAAAAATGGTCGGAAAGTTTGTCTCATTGGTTGCTCAGAGGTGAATAGTACTTGTTATTCACTTCCAAACTAGCCAACCAGAATCTGCAAAATGCACTATTCACTTTTGTGGTATATGCTATTTGTATATACATGACAGAACTTATCCTGGCCTCTACTGCATGAAGCAAGAAGGATTAGATCCGACTGGTTTGAATGGTAGTTCAGCACAAGTTATCCCCATTAGTAGTAAGGGTCCCAGTGCAGGTATATTCCCCAGTGAAGGTACTCGTAATCATAATCATTATAATAATTGTCATCAGCATCATTCCATTTTTTATTTTGTCCATGCAGATCATGGATGATTCAACAAAGGGAAACCGTTTGGCAAGGCTTATGTCTCAACATGACACGGAAAAGGTAAGTTGACCGCTAGACTTTGTCTTTTCCATTTTTTCATTGCAAGGGTTACAAAAGAACTGCTTTTGCTTGGCCACTGACACAAAACTGTCCAGTGCGATGACTGATAATGTTTAAACTCTTTATCATCTTTGCTTGCTTTGTTCCTTTGCACTGATTGGCACAACTGAATTTGTTAAGTGTACTTGTTTTGGTTCTTCTGTTTATTAGGTCAAGCTACGCATGACTTTAGAGCAAGAGTTGGTCCGGCTGTATGGAGGCGTTGCTCGTAAATCAGCTGGATATCAAATACCGTTCAGTGCCTGTACGGTGATCTCATCACAGATGCGAGCTCCTGGAATAAAGGTACTGTTTATGCACTGTTTACTTTCTTTCATACAAAATTTATGGGAGTGCAAGAGAAGAATTATAGACAGCCTAGCCCACTGTACCTGTACAGGTAAACGCGTTGGTTAGTATAATTTATGTTGGAAAAATTGCACCGCGTCGCCATTTTTAAATGCACCCGTCGAAAACTCGTTGAGTGGTGGGTTTTGTAGGGGAAAACTGCTTCAATCCACACAGCTTCGGTTTTGGCTTCGGTTTCTCTTGAATAAATAAAGATTTTTCCATGATTAGATGATAAACAGTCGCCGAGTTGGTTGTAACCTATCTCGTATCCAACAGGCGCGAATGAAATAATTGTTTTATAAATTTCTTTAAATTCTGGACGTTTGGGTATTTAAAGCCTTTTTCCAGCCCCGCAACAGTTTGCACAGTGCATTTCCTTATAAGGTGACTCGGAATATGAGCTGGTAACCGGCGTGGAGTGAACCAATCAGAACACTAGAAATGCAATATTCGGAGTTTAAAATTTAATATTAGCTACTCCTGTTAAATACACAGTATTTTTCAAGAACAAGAATTAAAAAAAACAACAACTTTGATCAATTCATTACAGCTTAGTGTAGAAAAGGAGCCGAATATATCCATTAAGCTAGAGGTGGACAAGATTTTGAACAAGTTCAGCAGGCTTAAGGTAGGGCTGCGTTCTGTTGAGGCCTATAAAAGCTACTGTGCTTTCTATTCCGTTGAGTTTCATGACGTTTTTGTTGAAAATAAACTCCACAAGGTCGTTATTTTCTCCTTTGCCAGTAGTGTTTTCTTTCTTTATTTCAGACACAGATACTGAACCGGCATAAACGAGAAATTGAGACGATCTTCGCATCAGAAAGCTTATGGAGGGAAAATAAAAGTGAGGAGAGCACCATCTTTACTAATAGTATTTTTAACTGCAACAATCAGCCGCCTAAACCTGAGGACCTTGTCAGTTGTAGCATACTCACATACATGTAATGTCTCATTTTCCGTTTTTGTCTTAGTGTTCCCAGTTTGATATATGATGTGCTACGCCCGTCGTAGATGTTGCTCTTGTTAATTTCAAGCCATGATTGATTGTACGTGTCATAAATCCTTGAGACCCCTGACTGTAAACGTGCAACATTCATTAAACGGATTTGTAGCTCTTAGTTATTTGAAACCTTCCCGTTGTTTTACCGCCAAAATGTGCGACTCGAAAGATAGTTCCCGTTGTTTTCCCACCAAAAATGTGTTACGCGAAAGATAGTTCCCGTTGTTTTCCCGCCCAAAATGTGTTACGCGAAAGGTAGTTCCCGTTGTTTTTCCCGCCAACATGTGCGACGCGAAAGATAGCTCCCGTTGTTTTCCCGCCAAAAATGTGTTACGCGAAAGACAACTCCTGTCGTTTCCCGCCCTGATGTTTTGTATTTTACCTTGCACATCCTTCAAACGTTGTCCTTTTGTCATTTCGGCTTTCAGCATCTCTTTTTTTCGTACAAGCTGAAACTGACTTTTGGCTCTCAACTAATTTTGTGTCTTTTATGGTTTTGATTTAGCTGAGGATAGTACATGTGTGACGAAAACTGGGATGTACGTGAGCGAAGACTTTGACCTCCTGCCTCCCAAGTTTAGGGATTATTATGAAGAGGTTTTGTGTGCCATGGACTGAATACAAACCAACCGGAGAACCGGAAATAGTTGAAAGCTGTCATCATAGAAGGGAGACAGTTGCGCGGCTTTTTCGACGTACTAGAATTATGAACCGAAAACAAAAAAATCCAACTAGAAAACATAAACACAAATAACAAAACTACCCTATTCATTTCTGTGTGCTTTACATATTTTACTCAGCCCGTTTTCCATAAACTGTTTTCACTCGTCCATATTATGATACTTTCCCTCAAAGGGAATGGTAAAGATTTGTAAAGGAAACTGTCGTTGAACGTTTAATAAGATGATATAATTGTAAAAAATGTTTTTTTAAAAGTCGGGTGATTTCCGTTTCTTGTCAACTGGGATACGACAACTCACAGGATGGCTTGTAGGTTGTCGGTTGGGGGTGGGATAGGGGTGGGAATTTGCTTTCGCCAGAAAGTTCGTAAAGGAAAAAGCTATTCAGTAAAGAAAAGAGGTTGGCTGTCCCTATGTAATGCAAACCTGAGAGACGGCAATGAGTGTGTACCCCGAGCAAGGCGTTCGACTTTCATATCCCAGTATTGCGCAATTAACGTGTTTGCGTTAGTAGGTACGTCGTTACTTGATGCTAGAGCGTTGCTTGATCCAAATAAAAAGGAGTGAGTGGCTAAGTGAGGTGGGAAATGACAGGTAAAACAAGAGCGCGTCTGTGGCGTGAGATTATAGTTAGACTATCATAACAACAGCATTTGTCTCTATCCAGTTCTGTTCCGCTTTCTGACGGAGAATGCGACCAGTGGAAAGTATTGTGCTCGTTGGTACAAAATTGGTTCTGTTAGGCTTTTACTGGGAAGTATACCTAGTTCTCTTCTTGAATACTTCGTAAGTGAGAGATCTGGGAACGAGATCACCATTGCCCTAACAGACTCGCAATGCTCTACTTTTATTCTTTAACATACCGCAATTTATTTCTTACTCGCTAAATGAAAAGCTTATAATGTAAAATACTACTGAAAGCTTTTGAATTAAGACACTCGTAAGGATTCTAATGGTCCTTAGAAGGGCGTCTCCACTTCTTCCACGATGATCCTACTCACGGAGTTCCAGCCAGTGAAGGCGTCCGCTTGTTTGTATCCAGCACAGGAACCCACGTTTAGCCCTACTATTACATGGCCCTTTGGGACCCCTGAGCAGTAGCCCAATGGTAGCCGCGCGAATAATGTTCCACGCGCCTCCATAGTAAACTGCTGTGTCGATTGGCATGGAGCATTCTACACCGTTAACAATGAAGAACCAGCGGTTGCAGGTTCGAGCGCTCATGACCCTCATATTTCCCTGGTAATAGACTTTGAGATGTGTTTTTTCCTATTTCTTTATAATTGAGCACTCCTGAAAAATCAGAGAGAGGAGATAGACACGTAAGTCGCATTATGTTCTCAAAAAAATTGTTTATTATGCATGTGATGATGAGTAATGTTTAATAGTTTCCCTCACAATGTAAAGTTACCATCAGTTGAAAACCAGCTATCACGTGAATATCGCAACATTTCAACAATCAAACCGCTAGTCTTCTTCACTCAATGATCATTTCAGAGTTTCTAATAGCGCACGAAGCCGGAATACAAATGGCATACCAAAAAAACATACAGATAGTTTGCTGTCGTCTAATTCGCTATTGTCGTTCTTCCATGCGCATTGTTTCCAGTTTGATGCCGCTGAACTGCCGGGCAGACCAGGTGCTCCAATCGCACCAGGCTCCCCTCGAGCTCCCTGCTGTCCTGGAGCGCCGTGCTGGCCTGGTATTCCTGGATTTCCTGAAGTCCCTGGGTTTCCTGGGGTGCCGTGAGAACATCTGCAACATTGTGAATTATCCTAAAATGGGAAAATGTTTGAATTGGACACCATTTTATGAGTTGAAGGGTGAGAAACAAAAACACGCGATGAAAGTCATCACATTTTAAAATTTGAAGGAGAGCTTTTTCAATTAAGTTTTGGCTTTTTTTTTTTTTGAGAGTTGCCTGTGTGCCACCCTGACCACAGATCGAGTCTCAATTTGTTATTAGCCATGGCCGGGGTTATTGTGTCGTGCTTTGATAAGAACAAATTTCAGCATTGAGCGGCAAAAGTAATCTGCTATTACCTCCTTTTCAACCAATCAGATTTAAGATGAAAACCAGTCGCGACTGGGTCACCCGTGTTTTCCCGCGCTTCAAGTAGTTTGCCCGTAAGCGCTTTAAGTGCTCATTGGCTATTGATGATGTTAACGTCTACTCTGAGTGTATGTTGTGATTAGGTGAAACGTAAACGTGATCTTGAGAGTTGCCTTTGGATATTTTTGTGTCCCGCCCTGAAGATGTAGCAATAAATATTAATGCAAATAAATGTGTAATTTCCGGTAGCAGACGATTTTTTTTGTATCTTGAAAAATGGAGCTCTCTGTTCCATTCCAAATCATCCTTATTTCTTCCCTCTTGGTTTGCATTGACCTCTTCGGTTTTTTGTTTTTCTTCTTCAATTTTACCAAACTTAATTATTTCATTTGTATCAAATAGGAGATAATTTTCGGCGCTACCGAAAATGACTCAGAATGCCATAATATAGCCCCCAGCTTTCTTTCTTTCTAAAAAAATGGGAAAAAAACTGCAGGCGACTGTCACCTCTTCCTCATATGAAAAGGCACATAATATGAGGTCAGCGTTGTCTATTTTTGTTTTAATTAAAGTACCTATGACACGATTTTTTTTGTATGTTCTGGTTGATAGTTGTATTTAAAAGTAGGAATAACCGTCCTTGGCGCCTAGCGAGTTCTCCATGTTCACTTTTTTGTGCATCGAAAGTACGATTTGGCGGCCAAAAAGCGTCCCCATAAGCGCGCGGCCAAAATGACCATGTTACATAGCTGTGCCGACGTGTCTTCGCAGTTTTCTACGTCAACTATGGTGGAGAAAGGAGAAATCTAGAAGAAAAGACGAACGTATTGCGTGGCCGGAGCGCCAAATGATGTTAGCTACAAGAATAATATTCGTATAACGGGTATTCCTATTTACCACTTTCCAAAGGGTGTAGCTGTATGGCCAAAATAGACGCGTCTCGATTGTCGACATCGAGGAGACTTTACTCTTCAATGTCGTCAGCCTTATGCTCCGTACCGGCTTCGAAGACGCCTGTTACGAACACATACCACTAGTCAATTCAGGGGAAGATAACCAAATAATTCAGCTAAAAAGAATGCTGATTAAGGCCCGTTCCCACACCGCACACGATTGTTCAAAACTTTTTTCGGCTGACATTTCGCAAGTGAAGAATTGTGAGCTTCTTATTGTTGCTTATTTCACGCGCGGTTTGAGATGTACTCACACTCCTCGTCTTTCCACATGACTGTATTTGCACTTTTCTCATTGTAAGAAAATCCTACCAATTGTAGTTTCCATCATATTATAATAACAGAAATGCATCATTTGCAATGAAGTTCGAGCCCTTTCCTGAGCTTTCCTGGCTAATATCCCGTTGCATGAACGGCAGTGCGAAACCTCCGGCGGATACTGGCATAAACACAAGCTCGAAAGGGCAGTGTATTCTCCTAATATAGGATTCCGAAAATCCATCCCACGAGTCATCAACTCCCCCCTGCCCTCAAGAAACTAAAAGTAGCAACAGTAGCAATTTCATTGTGATCACAGCACTGCAACGAGATAAATAAAGAAACACAAATATAGTAGCGAATCCAAGTGACGTGTGAAAGTCGATACAAATGAAATAATCATTTAAAATACTGATGTCAGTTATCATCTTTGAGCGGAATGGGTCTTATGGCAATGCTGCACCTAAACTAAAGAATTTTTTCTCTATTAAAATCCCTATTTGAGATAAACTTGAATCAGATGACTATAAACTCACTCGTTTCCCGTTCGGTTTGGCCGGCCCGACAACCGCGACGATAGCTTTTGCCTTTGCAATCTCTGAGAAAAGGAGCAACTTGCAGTGAAACTTCCCGATGACTTCTAGTTGAAAAATCATCGTGCCTCGTGATACAGATGATTCTTTCTTTAAAAGTTAGTTTTTGGTTTACCAAGGAAATTTCACAACAACGAAACTCTACAGCGCTGACCGAGGAACCTTCGCCTCACATAGTGCGAAGGAATAAAATGTTATGGCAAAAGAAACGAACACCGCTACCCATTCCTAACATAGATTTTGCCAAAGAAAACAAAACACAAACGCAATAAACTAAATATTCAGTGACGGGAACTGAACTGAACACCGTAAGGGAGAACACCGTACACCGTAAGGGAGAAACTGTCTTTATCAGTCTTCGTCGAAATCTTCGTTTGATGCACGGGGTTCTCCTTCTTAGGGCTGAACCGTACTTACAACTTCCATTTCTTCTCTACTACTTGAGTACGATGTATAACAACTCTCGGTAGAACTTGCTGAAGGTAGGTATACATCGCTATCGGACATTACTTCAAGAGTATTTCAACGCTGACTGATACAAAATTCAAAGGGATGTGGGAGATTTTGTAGGAGTCAACGAAGATTTTTCACATTTTTCTACGTCATTATCCGCCAATTCGTTACTAGTCCACGGGACACTTTGAAGACAAAATAAGAGCACTTTAGGGCCTGGAAAAACCGAGAGGGCACTCTTAAGACGGAATCAAAGGAAAAAAAAATTATTTACCAGTGGTCCCTGTGGGCCTGCAGCGACGGCTGAGAACAACTGGAACTGCACAATCATCAAGAAACTCAGACAAAGAAGTTAGGGTCTAGTCAATCTTACGGGAGGTTATTTTTGCTTGAAAAAGTAACAAGTAATTCGAATGAGCAGGTTTCTGCTTAACTTAATGACTTCAAAACTAAGATCGATGAGCCTAATTAAAAAAAAGTGCAACACGTATCTGACTGGATAATTTATTGAATTTCTCTTCATGCTTCTGGTATTTGGCGGAAAATTGCCATGCTTTGTCGCTTCGACTTAGTTCCTCGTTGAATTTATCGATAGCTCCGTCAGACTGGCATCCCTTAACACTTCCTGTTCTTGTTCTTCTGGTGCTGGGAATTTAACTCGCACAACTATGGCGGTAAGCAACAAAAATACCGCAAACATCAACCATACGAGTCTGCGCAGTATTAACTTGCGCTTCTCCTTTAAAGTTAGCTTGTTCCCATGGACACTAATATGTTGCTTAGATACGGTTGAGCAATCTTGTCGCAAAGGCCCATCCTCGAGAAGGACTTGCTCTTGGTCCGTGTTCATGGCCCTAAGCGGAATGTTATTGAGGCTAAGAAGAGACGACGAGCGGTAGATCCAGGACATGACAGGGTTTGTTGGATTTCTAAATTCTCGTAAGCTGTTCGTGTTTACTGAAAATAACGATGAGGTTCTGGAAAGCCAGGTAACGATGAGATCTGAGACAAAATGTAATTTGGAAAATATCAGCATGAAAAAAATAATCAATATCTTAGCTCTGCGAACCCTTAAACTCTTTCATTTTACTTCCACCTATGATCTAGAAGTCAATTCTTCCCATTGTTTACCTCACATCTCCTATGATTTTAGCTCTGAAAATATGGTTTAAATCAAACAATCAACTTAAGAAACACGGGAAATCGCCTCTTAATAGAAAGCAAAGCGACAAAGAGTTGGGATATAACAGAAGAGAGCGAGGATGATTTTAATAACAGCCTTTACACCTGATATTGAAATGCATATTCTCCACATTGTTCTCTGTACATTTCCTGTGGTACCGATAGGGAGAATGTGTTTAACAATCAAGTGCTTGTCTTGTTGTTGGTGATCATTTCCTTCATTCTCAAAGCCTTAACATTAGATTCAGCGGGAATACTGAGAGCAGGCATTAGATTCTGGTGACTCTTAGGGGTTAAAGGTTAAAGGATGGCGAAGAATGATACAAATTGCACCTGGCTCTGAAGGAACAAGCTTGCTCTCTTCGTATTCTTGTCCAGTTCCAGTGCTCCATTCGAGAGGTGACCTAAGTCGTTGTCGAGTCAACCTACGACGGGCCTGAGAAAGACAGTAAAAAATGCGCCTTTGAGCAATCTCGTTCCTAGGGTCATTCTTGATTTTCAAGATAAAAGACCTGGCAACGAAGTTAGCCTTTAGAATTGCATACAAGCACAAATGATAAATAATTTTTGTTTCTTCTCACCTTCCTAACATATAGTTCCCAATCTATCCTCCTGATTAAGGCAATGAATAAGAGACACTGGTGGAAAAGAAAATCATTATTATGTTAAAAATTGTCAAATGGCGACAACATCTCTTGTGGTTTAGTTTATGTCAAATTGAACATTCCCTTGATGTGGAATGAGACATTTAAAGATGACACGTTGGCAGCATTCTACACATATATAAATGAGAGCTTTTGGTGAATCTTTCTTTTCTACGCAGCTGTGAATACTGTTCATGGTTAATTTCATCTGGGCTGACTTTGTAATATGCCGAATTTACAGTGTAAGTTTACCTGCAGACTGAGTCCAGTCGTAAGACCCCACCAGAAACCTACAGGATCAAGAATAAAAAAATATTACGACAAAATTTGGAGAAAAAATTAGACTGTGGAACTATTATATACTCTTGATTGAGTAGGCCAGGTCAAACTTACCTTCAACTTCTTCTTTAAAGACGTAGAAGGCGAAACATGATCCCAGAGGCACGGAAACAAAGAAGTGGAAAAAGAAGTTGAGAAAAAGAGCGAGCTTTGCTCGACCAACACCTCGAATGACGCTGCAACATATGACCTAAAAAACAAAATCAAACCAAAGTTTTTCTAAGATATACGATCCCACTGTCACACTGACGAACTCAACTGGGTGATTAGTTTCGTGGCGGTGTTACATACGCAATTGATATCACTCGAATCCCGACTTATTACCCGACCGACCATAGAGCTGACCAACCATCGACTCTCAGACCTGTAGACTGAATGACTTATAGACAAACAGAAAGACCACATGGACGGACAGACAGACAGACAGACTGAGAGACAGACGGACAGACAGACAGACATAGGGACAGGCTGGCAGATAGACAGACGGAAAGACTAGCAGACAGACAAACAGACACAGACAGACGGCAAACAAACTGATGGACTAGCAGACCGACAGATCAGACACAAATCGGCAAACTATCTAACAGGTAATTTAGTGTTAACAACTGGGTTGAAAACGTAAATTAGCCACCTTAAAGAGTAATCAATCGCTCTGACGAAGGGCTAACGCTCGAAACGTCAGCTTTTTTATTCTTTACGATGGCTAATTTACGTTTTCAACCCAGTTGTTAACACTAAATTACCTGCTATACTCTCCCACCGACGCAGCACCACAGTTTCTTTAGAAACTTACCCCTTTAAACTATCTAACAGCCTGACTAATTGACCGATCGGCACAAAAAAATTCTACAGAGAAATTAATTTGTAGAGTTTATAAAATTGACTCCAAATTCCACTCAGTATGCAGAAATACCGCTTCGTTTCCCTTACTTGGAGACTTTGGAAAAATGAAAATCCCGTCATCGCTGGAGTGACTTTTCTGACAAAACTTGCGATCGCCCTAAAAACCAAATAAAGAGCATATGCTTCGTTATAATCAAAGGGTTTTCTCAGAAAACTTAGCTCCCTGACCAGTTGAAGTCAACTTAGACACAATTTGATTTCCATGGAGAAGTAATTCCAGTTTTCGGTCATAGAGTAACGATTCGACTCAACTACAATTGTATGGTAGACAAATCCATGCAGTAACTTAATATCAAAATACAAACCTGTCGTCTGTGAAGGCTTTCCCAAGATGTTCGTTTAGACCGTTAAGAAACACCGACATTACAATGGAAAAGCAACCTGGAAAGAGATGACGATGTAAAAATTCCCTAATACCCGGACTTTCGCTCTAACAAATTCACCTAGGAACCAAGTTGAGGATGGTAATGTTACTGTAGCTGATGGAAATTTCCGTCTTACGTATTTGACTTATGCGGAAAATTAACAGAGCAAAAAAAAAAAAAATGGTAAAATACTTTGCTATTAAATTTATCACGTTCCAAGATCTCTTAACCTTTTGAACCTTAAGAGTGACAAACATCTAATTTCTCTTCTGTTTTTTTTTGTTTAAAAACACAATAAAATATTTTAAAAAATCTAATTTCTCTTAACAGTATCACCCCCAATTGACGCATTAAGGTCACAAGAAGAAAGAAAATGATCACTAACTAATGAAGCTCTTGATTAGTAAACAAATTCTCCTTGTCAGCTTCTTAGGAAATGTATAGAGAACAGTATGGAGAATATGCATAATAGGGTTAGGGTGTAAAGGGCTAAGACCTCATCACATTCACTAGGAATGGGTACTAAGAGACCAAAGTACCTGACCCTATTTCAAGAGAAATGGACATGTTTGCATTCTTTTTGCACCAATTTCAATAAGATAATAATGAATAGGGAGGTGGTAAGTTTGTGCAGTGAATTTATCTTACCACACGCATCTGAGTGCATGGTAGGATGTGCGAATAGAACAGTTTTAACCTCTCAGACTAAGGCGGCAACTAAAATTCAAATATATACGTCAGCGGAATCCGTCAACGGGACGAAGAAATTATCGTGTTAAAAATGCTAATCGACGTGCCTATCCATCTGATTTACCAGAAAAAATTAAGGATACTTACAAACTGCCACCAAAGAAATGTTTACAACATTTTTCGCTCTGGTGTGGTCGCCTTTTCGCAATTCATTCGTTACTCTAACAGTAACAGCATGAGAAAAACCTATAGAAATCTGAAAGAAACGATTTCCCTTGTGTTAGAGAATCAAGTAAGACCAAAGGAGACATTGACAATAGCAGACCTTTGAAAAGACCTATTACATGGAGAAACGCATTGTCATGGAAAGTCGCGATCTTTCCACTGGCTGAAATTTCGATTGTGGGTTGCTTTATCGAAGGATGCTGTTCTCAAGAGATATTTGTCTTTCCTTCTGGCGTTGAAATACCTGTTTTTTTAGACTGAAATAAAATCATTAAACGGCAGCGTTTTTTCCGCGATTATGGCTATATAACTCACTCACCATATATACAAAGCTTGAAAACTGCATCAATATACCATGGACCGCCAGTTGCTTTTGTCCGAGCGTTCCTGCAAGACACGACACGCGTAGACATTGGTACAATATAAGGGCAATGGTAGTAGACTTCTGCATAAGGTCTATCTATTGCAAGAAACTTACTTATGGAATATAGATGAAATGAAAAAATTCTGAGATATTTATTGTATTACAAATTTTAGAAACTAGATATTGTTTTCCTAGGGATGAAACCATACGCTTTGCTTACCAGTTCCGATTCAATTAATTTTCGCCTTCAAGGTTAAATTAAGAAACACTCAAGATATACATATTTTCTTAATCGAGTAGTGTTGCATTGTTACCGAAATCTACTGACCTTTTGAACTGTATAATTTGACCACTTCAACAACAAAGTGTTGTAACGCAACAGGTTAATATGGGCAATTTAGCTGCTGCATGAAACAATCTAATCTGTTAGCCCCTAAAACCGACTGACATTTAATTTCTCGTTAAAGCCTCACCTGTGAGATATTGAGAACCAGTCAGATTAAAAAATTTTTGATATCTAAGAATAATGATTATATCATACATACTGAGATTCACACTGTGAAGGACTATCGTTCGTGTCTGTGATTAGACGAACGATGTATTTTCATAGTCGTTTGCTTCCAAACTTTGAATTGAGATGTGAAGAAATCTCAGTATGTATGAAATAAAATACGTACTGACTGAGCATCAGTAAAATACTTAGTATATACGGAGTGCTCAGTACTGAATGACATACTCATTATCTATATATGAACTCAAATACATACTGACTGAAATGAAATATATACTGACTCCCTTGTTCACTGCGCTCGCTCGTTCGTTTGTTTTTTTAATGGTTTGCAACTTGTAAATTAAAAATCGTTCGCGCACTCTTTCCATGGAATAATCTCTGTTTTTCCTCCTTTCGTACAATGAGGATACATACTTACCCATTAGAAAAATTCCCACAACAAAGCTCCACCATTCAACACATAGCATAAGCGTGCCTGGTGCAGCCAACATGGTGAACTGATTCCAATGCTGCAGGCTTTCTATCGTCCAGCCTTGTAATCAATAGTTGGAGGTTATAAAGCACGTTGAAATTCAAACAGAATGAAAAAAGAAAAAAAAATCACTTTTCGCCCACAGATACATAATATTGGGTCTTACATATCGACGGGCATGTTCTTATTCTGTAGGTCCTCCTCTTCCTCTTGTAATGACCTTGATAACAAGTTGTTCCTTGAAAATAATGTTAAGGACTCGGACAATTTCATAACAAATGATATACTACTAAGACAGTCGCTTTCTTACCTTCTGAAGGCCAGGTTCTGTGGTAAAGCTTAGAGAAAAAGAGGTAGAGAAACGAGGAGAGGCCGAGGAACAGACAGTGTGTAAGGCATGACGCTAAGGCCACGCCCCTAGAAGGAATGTAACACCAGCTATTTAGGAACTGCTGCATAAAGAATATGACCATCACTGAATTGAGAGCACAGCAATTTACATTAGGAGAAGGGTGATTTAGACCATTATTCATATAAATTAAGGCTTACAGGAAACCAATCTGTAATCCATGAATTAATACAACATTGATCCCAACATGCATAATGCTTGCGGTAGCAACGGTGTAAATGACAGGCTTGAAAACACCCTGCAAAAATTAACGAAAGGAAAAAACGCTGGTATTACAGGAAGGTGGCGCTCTCTAATGGAAAATGTTTGTTTTAAAAAGTTTTGGTTCTAATAATTTTAGCTCACCTGTATTTGGAGATATCTTTGAATTAAAACAAACGCAAAATCTGCCTGAAAATGAGTAAACAAAATCTTATATTCAAGTAATATATCTCATCACTTTTTACAAATGAATTCGCGGTGTTCGTTTTTATCCCATTTTCTTCTTTTCTGTTCTCCTTTTTTCTCTTTGAGAAGAGATCTTTTAATGTCATTATGAAGCGGCCAAGAGCTTCAGGGTTTGGTGCCGTTAAAAAAATTAAAAAATTATCTTCATTACTAATTAATCTATGAGCGCACGTTGGTTTTGACTTGTTGAAAAACCATTAAGGCGCTCTGAGCAGTTTTATTTAACGAGTGCGAATAGCATTGTCTCAAAATCTTTTCCAAAAAGAGACACGCTTTTTAGTAGTCCATAGTATGTGAACTCATAAACCATGGCCTGAGGGCCAATCAAAACTCGGGGATAGCAACATACTACAACTAGCTTCCAATAATGATCATTGCCAACAATAAGGGCAGCGTTGAAGAAGAGTGTGGATAATTAGAAAAGTGATACTCACAACCAGAGCTGGAAACCAAACGAAAATGAACAGTTGCGAGAGTCTGCAACAGAAGGATAGATAGTTCAGTATCGCTTAATTTGGCTTGTCTGTTCCCGATTTATCAGCGGAATAACGGCCGCGATGTATCGCTGAAAATATGAGTTAACTTGCCAATAATTAATCTGTAATTGCTTATAGAGCAATTTTGAGATGAGTGTCGAAAGCAATCCGGAGTTGCATTTTTTTCCACTTCTCTGCGTGATTGGTTCAGGATACTCGCGCCACTTTCTCAGCCAATCAGATGTAAAACTAAAACAACATTTTCCCGCGCTTTAGGCAGTTTGGTTGTTTTCACTTTGGGTTCTCATTGGCTCCTGAAGATATTTTCCTTTATTCATATTGGCCGAAAAGCCCTCAAACTGCGACTGGCTAGCTGTGCATGTATGCGTACAAGCACGCAAGTGTTTGAATTTACAACACTTAACAGACAAAAAGATGAGAATCAGCTTAAGAACCTGACTATTTCTCTTTTCTGTTTGATTATCAGCAGCAGCAGTTCTGCATTAGTCCAAATGGCCCAAACAAACAGCACAGAAATCCCTAGAAGCCAAACTCCTCTCTGAAACGTTATCCCCACAAGTCGATAGCTTCTGTTCCGAAAAGCCTTCGTGCATAAAACTTCTAAAGCAGTGATCAAGCCAGAGCCGAGAAATGTTCCAGTAACTCCAATAAACGAAGTGGATAAAACTGTCGCTGCTAGTTCTTGTTCGCCTAATCTCCCCGCAAAGAGAAGGCTGATGGTAAATAAGGTATTATGCAAGACATTTGTGAGAATTGGCAGCCATGATAGGCTTATCAACTGCTTAAGTTCTCGTCTGGTTTCCGAAGATAAGATTCTGCTAAATAAATGGCTGGTGACGAAAACTTTGGAATGTTTATCTGGAGCCATTGATCTCCTTCTGATTGGAGACGCCGTGTTACAAACTGAGTGCAACAAGAGAGCTCAGGTATTTACCTGAGAAACAGAAGAGAGCCAACGTTAAAGTCGAAAGAGCAAGAAAATATATAAAATATTCATGAATAAATAAAAGCAGCTGTTCATTATGGAATAAAACTTTCTTCTTGTTTTGACTCGCTGAAAAATGTAGCCATTCTTTCTCGAAAGCGTTGATGTAGTAATATTAGTGAACACTATTTAATTTAGACGTGAAACATGACAAACTTTTAGTAGGCTTGTGAACTTCATTGATTCAGTTCGTTGAGAAAATTAATTCGGTTAAACAGAGACATTATGCCGAAACACGGGAACTGTACACTTGGTTTACTGTAGGGTTTTGTCAGTGATCTCACTTTGGTTTAACTTATTCGGATACTGTCCCGCATATTAATTGGCCAAGGAAATAATATGTTTATTTTGTCTTTGTTTTTGAAGCGAAAACAAGATTGTTAGTTGCTGAAAAAAATTTAGAGGCCGGCTCCCTCCTGTAACCAAAATTTATCCTGGTAATCAGTTGCAGCCAGCTCCTATTATTTCGGGAAGAAATGTCAAAAGTTTGTTTTGACGGACTTGCTCGCCTTATAATTGATGAAAACAGAAATCTTACCTTACTAAGGCGTATTCCAACCACGACAACGCAGAACGCGGTGATATGTCAACATTGATTGCAGGGTAGGGGCTAGACAAACAGAGCGAATAACAGCTGTTGAATAAACTCGGCTTTGTTGTTGATAATTCAGGTATTTTCACTTAGAACACCTTTCAGGTATTTAGTCATTGGCTTTTGATGGACCAAAATGGTTTTGAGTAATATGAATAAATAATGAGCTTCCTTGATATAATTTTATTTGCATTTGCACCTCTTTTTTCCCACAATACTTCTAAACTTTCATTTATCCCTTTACTTAAAAAAGCGTTTCCTCGTATAGAAAGCCATATAATCTTTTCTTCACCAAGAGATTCAAAGATCACAAGGAAAATAAAGAAAAAAATGGTGCTTGTACTCTAACACCCAAGAAAAACTTCATGAAATTATCATGAACTCCAGCTGTTGGCTTAATTGTTGGCCTGTTGATTGTAGTAATGTACGTATTTATGTAAAGTTACACTTTTCGTCACTTATTTATTCATTTCGACAGGATGAGAGGGAGATTTTGCGAATGCGCATTTACGCCTGTAATCATTATAGTCAGCTGAACTTTAAGCCCAGTCTCTTTGTTGTGTAATCGACATCACATGTCCATCAAGCACCTGCGTTGTCATGGCGGGTGAACGTTCTAAACATCGCTTGAAATTTGTCGGTTTTCTTCTGTTCTGAGATAAAAATCACGTCGTTTCTTCATCTTGATTTATAGAAGAAGAGATTTCATCCCGAACTTTTCTTCGCGAAAAAGAATATTTAGGTCGAAATTCAAACGAAAGAAGATTGGAGAAGATTGATACGATGGAGTCTCCCCAAAGCGGTAGTCAGGTTTCAATGTCGGAGACTGCTTCAGTTGCAGGGACAGTTAGCTCTGAGAGTTCCGTGGGTAGGACACCTAGTGTGTCTGCGACACCAGAGAGTATTCCCGCTTCTACACCAGCTCCTGTTCCTCAACCAAAATCCCAGCCGCCTAAACGACGTGGCAAAGGTAGATACCGTACTTACAAGTTTGTTTGAATTGAGCTACGTATGTTTAGAATAAGCTTTTGTAATTTTAATGTTTTTTCTTATCTCCACTTTCAAGAAGATTCATTTGCATTCTTCTTTAACATAAGTTCGTTGTCTTACACAGAAACCATTTGGTTTTATCAGGTTGATCTGATTTCAACGGTTGTCATGCATCAGATGACCACTAAATGGCAAAATTCTCATATTTACAGTCATAAGTTTAATCTTAATACTTGGGAGTACATAAGATTCATCAGGTCATTCATCCCATGTTAACGTTTTGAATTTCAAGAAGTACCTTGAAGTTCTGTGTAATCCACATCAGCATTTGGTGGTTACTTTGGATAATTTTGATGGATGATGTCCAATTAACAACAAATCATTAGCCATTTACACCCTAACATCAATATGCATATTCTCCATACTGGCTATGCATATGTTCTATACATTTCTTAAGTTGCCAGCAAGGAGAATTTGTATAACAATCCAGAGCTTCTTTGGTTGGTGATCGTTTCCTTTATTCTCATAACCTGAATGTCTGATTCAGGAGTGACATTATAAGGAGAAATTAGATACTATTCCCACTAAGAGGTCAAAGGGTTAATTAGTGAGTTACAAGTTGAAGTCCCTTGATAAGGTACTGTTCACATGGTATGTGGTGGTGTTACCTATCATGTAAAAGTGATCAAGATGAAATGATTACCTCACCTACTTTGGCTTCCCCATCTCCATGTAAACTTGCTTGAAATTTTTCTGCCACGCTTATATTGATATCAAGTCTTTATCATGGTATACATGACTTATTATATCCATTTTGAGATCACTTGAGATCCTTGCCATCTGATTGGCTCTCACTCATGTGTTTTATTCACAAATTGCACCATTTTATGCTCTAAATGGCATCTTTTTGCCAGCCAATGAGACAGCTTTACTAAAAAACAACAACCAATCAAATTTAAAGGCTTTTTTAAAGAAATCAATCAAATTGCAGGAAAATGAGAGACAACTTTGCAACTTTTTACAAACCACCTCAGTATAATGGATCAATAAAATACAAGTACAGACTTAAAAAACTTGTATTAAACCTTAACACCCTAACATCAATATGCACCTTCTCTATACATTTCCAAAGGTGCTGTAAAGTAGTAGTAGAGCCTTTATATGGGCCCAAGTGGCCCATGGGGCCGGTGCTTAACTCCAGTTTTCTTAGCATGAAGCGGCTAGGAGTATTGCTACTCCCCCCTGGATGGGATGCTAGTCCATCGTAGGGTTACCCCCAGCACATTTGCTGGTACCCATTTGTACACCTGGGTGAAGAGAAGCACTGTGAGAGTAAAGTGTCTTGCCTAAGAACACAACACAATGACCCTAGCCAGGGCTTGAACCCGGACCACCTGATCCGGAGTTGAGCGCACTAACCATGAGGCCACTGCGCCTCCCTTCCAAAGGTGCTGACAAGGACAAATTGGTTAAAAATAAAGAGCTTCTTTAGTTGGTGATCATTTCTTTTATTCTCATGACCTAAATGTTTCATTAAGGGATGATTTTCCAGGGAGAAATTAGATGCTAGTCACCCTCAGGGATTAAAGGGTTAAGAGACAGAATTTTGCAATTTCAAAATGGATGTAATAAAGTACTGATTGAGCTTTGAGTTAGTTGCACAATTTTTTAATCTGAAATCATGCTTGTGATTTTGAAATCACATGTATGATTTCAGACAAAATTACTCTCCACTCAGTTCAATTACTATTATTAACCATGACAGCAGACTTTTTCATTGTTTCTCTCATGATATGTTAAAATATAATAGTCACTAATTCATTGTTTTCATCTACCTTGCTCAGCTCCAGAGTTACCTGTCTATGAAAGAAGAAATTGGCTCATTCATCTACATTACATCAGAAAGGAATTTGAAGCCTGCAAGGTGGGAAACATTCTTTCATGAGTTGTACATTTTGATTAACTTGAACTGAAAGAAAATTCATTTTTTGTTTCAAGTCTCATTGTGTTTTGTTGTAGGCTCTGATAAAAGAGCAGCTTGCTGAAACTCAAGGAATGTGTGAATATGCTTTGTATGTGAAAGGTAATACTCATGTTTTTTTGACATAGATTAAATTGTCTGAGTTAACTCCTGCCAACAAGTCATATATTTGGGAGCCAATTTTCACTTAATTTGCTTTTAGCAAGATTGTACATGTAACTGTCAAATGGCGTTTTGTATCACTAGTACACAGAGAGAATTTTAGAGTTAATTGCATAATCAGTGTGATTCTTTAACCTTTAACACCCTAACATAAGTATCCATACTCTCCATACCTTTCTCTATAAATTTCCTTTCATACTGACAAGGAGAATTTGTTTTAAAATCAGACATTCATGGGATGGAGATCATCTCTGTTATTCTCGTGATCTTAATGAATGATTCAGCAGTATTACTGCAAGGAGAAACTAGCTGCTGGTTTAAGTTGTTTTCTTGTATTTCTTATGACACTTAATCTGCTTTTTTCCTGTTTCAGTCAGTTTTTTAGAGCTTTCAGTTATTTTATGTTGTGATTGTGAGTCAGCTATATGATCATTTGCATGCTGAATTTGAGTTAACTTTAGCCTAACCAAGATATTAAACACTATGTTGAGATAAAATTTTCATTTAACATCTTTCTTTAGGCACCTGATATCCATGTGGTAGGCTAAAGGTAGCTCAATTTTCAACATTGACTAAGTAACATGTAGTCTGATCACCATAAAATGGGATTGAGCAATAAAAATCATGGGAATTTGGCATTGGACATTCTATAAGGTGCCTCTTTTTGTCCAGTGTTTCTAGGTCAAATTTAAATTTAATGTTAAGGTTGTGCGCTAAGTTAAAATGGAAATTTATGGGACAAATGATGTAAAGTTAAACAGGATTCCCTTTTTTCCCTTGGCTGATTCAAGGTTATGAATATGATACAGTGTAAAAAATGTTGCTTACTGTCAGAATCTCATTTACTGTACTTGATATTTTTATAAAGAGGAAAGACATAATGGGAGAATCTTGTGCCATGGACAAATTTTTGCCTCTTTTTCAGCATTAATTCTCCGTCAAGAGGGTCAAATCCAGGAATCATTGGATCTCTTCCAGAGGACTGTTCAAATCAATCCTCAGAGTGCTGACAACCTCAAACAAGTTGCAAGATCTCTGTGAGAGTTTATTTTTTACTTGGTTGAAGAGTAGATCAGCTTCATTACTGCATGTGTTACCTTTGTAGAAAGATCTGCTTACCATAGCTACTTTTACAGATGTCACCACTGTAGCAAACAC